CAACCAGCCCGATCCCTGATGCTCAAGATGCCGTATTTGTATGAGATTTCCCAGGGCACCTATGCAGCACAGTTTGACATGTGTAAAGTTGGCGAACTCAAGGACCCACAGAATCAAAAACTCATCAAGAAGGGAATGCAAATCAATACCACTTCTCAACAATTTTATTTTCACTTTCACGGCAGAAAATGCAATCACCAACATGAACATCAAACACTTGAGGGATCCACGATACACAAAGGGGAAAGAATTCAGAGAACTACGTTTTCCGAAAACTACACGAGGAAGTTTGCACGAAGCATTGCACAGGTCCTCACGAAGGTCAAGAACATGAAAGAACTTCCAGTGCTTTGTTGGGATGAAACTGCATACGCCCTGCAGGGAGTCAAGCGGTCAGTCAAGGCAGACCCAAACCTCCGTGCAAAAAGAGCCAAGCTGCAGAATAGTAGCCTGATTGAGCCGCAAGAAATGCCTGCCAAGCGCCGTAGGATCCATGAAAAATCACAGGACTCCATGTCCAACCAGGTCCTATGTGAAAGCATATGCAGTCAGATTTCTACTATAGCACCGAAAGTAGGCCGTAAGATAATTGAAGACTCCAAAATAATTGAAGCAATGCAAGAACTGTTCCCTGAAAAGGTGATTGTCAAAGTGGTTGTAAGCAAGGGCACCGAGAGAACCACACAGCCTCCAAAAGATTTGATTCCCAGTGAAGCCCCATACAGAAGAGCCATTATTGTTCAGAGAAACACCAAGAAGATAATGGTAGAGGATCAATGGGAACATTGGGAGTTTTTGTCAGCCAGACAGCAATGGCGTCGGTCTCATCCAAGCTACTTGAATATAACAGCTTTTGCTCGAAATCACCCAATGTCGGACCCAGAAAGGCCGACTCCAAGCGCTTCAGCCAGCCAAGCAGAGCCAAGAACCGAAATTCAGGAGCCAGCGAGAGCAGACCAATCCAATGGGTCTCCGGATGAGACTCAACATGCACCCGAACTGCCAATGCCAAGTCCAGATGCAGTCCAAGAAACTAGGACCCCCGAAGAAATCGATGGAAAAAGTCAAGATCATGGGCCAAAGTTTCTCACAATGTCACCAGAAATGAGAAAACTAGCGCTAAGACTCCACAAAAACCTTGGTCACCCGGACCCACGAAGGCTTAGCCAAGTTCTTCAGCAGCGGGGTTATGATCAGTCATTAGTGCAAGGAGTCCTGGACTTGAAGTGCTCCATTTGCCAGATGCAGCAGCGACCCAAGATTCCAAGACCAGCCACACTCAAGCAAGAGTTAGGTTTCGGGGATAAGGTATCCATAGATGGGGTTAAGTGGCTAAATAAACAGGGGCAAGAATTCCACTTTTATCACTTCTTGGACCATGGGACAAATTATCACACAGCCATCATAGCCTCCAACCGAGCGGAAATTCAAGAAAGATTCACAATGGGATGGCTGAATTGGGCAGGACCACCAAACACAGTATTGATGGACTCTGCAAGGGAATTTGTCTCAGAAGCCTTTACCAAATTTCTTCAAAACTTGTGCGTGCAGTGTGAGGTTGTTCCGCCAGATGCCCACTGGCAATGTGGCAGGATCGAGAGACATGGGGGGGTTCTTCAATCCATGTTGTCAAAGTTTGAGTTGGAACATGATGTAAGTAGTTATCATCAACTTCAACAAGCCCTGACTCAATGCACTATGGCAAAGAACTCATGCAGCCTGCGACATGGATATGCCCCAGATACCTTGGTATTTGGAAAAGGTTTGAAGATCCCAGCCTCCATAATCAGCGATGACACCCTGCCTGCTCATGCGATTGCTGACAGCGAAGACTCAGCCGGAGTCAAATTCCGGGATCTGCTAGCCATGCGAGAAACTGCAAGGCGAGCATTTCATGCTGCTGACAACGATATGGCATTGCGAAGAGCCGCATTGCGCAGAGACCGTCCACATAGGGGAGCATACGAAGCCGGAGAATGGGTAATGGTTTGGAAAATCCATAACTTTAAGGGTTCATGGGTAGGACCAGCTCGCGTGATCAAACAAGATGATGCATCAACGGTGTTCTGCAACAATGCCGGTTCCATCATCAGAGCAGCTCCTGAGCACATTCGTCCGGTGAGTGCAGTCGAGGCAAGACTTATCCCCATAGAAATGCCAACAATCCCACAGGTTGAGAACACATCCATGTTCAATCCACAGAATAATGGAACCAGTCAAGAGCTCCCTTCACAGAGAACAGTTTCCAATAACAATCCAATAACAAGGGTCAATAACAACATTCCAGAAAATGAGGAACCAGTTCCAACAAGCCAGAGTGCATCCGAACAGCCAGATCAAGAACCCGAGGAAATGCCATCAACCCCGAACACCAGTGAAGAAAATGATAGTGGATCAAGATCATCCCAGAATCAAGAGCATAACCCTGAACTCCAACCTCATGAAATCCCAGTTCCAGATGTTGCAGAAGACGAGTTGCTATGCGATTTGCTCCTATGCAGTGATGATGACAACCTGATCGACAACGCTCCCAATGGGGAAGAAATCGTCTGGCGGGCTGAACTTGAATTCAGTCGAACTCACGTGGAACAAGTGTGCCAGTCTATTCAGAAGCCAACAGAAGAAGAGTTTGTGCACCTTACAACCACAGGTAAACGTGCACGAACAGAAGTCAAGCTGAGCACACTCGATCCAAACGAGCGACTGGAGTTCGAAGAGGCCAAAACCAAAGAAGTCCGAAATTGGCTTCAAACAGGGACTGTTGCCAAGATGTTCCGACATGAGCTGTCCCCTGAACAGATTCTAAGATGTCGATGGTTGTATGTCTGGAAACCCATAGAAGATCCCAAAGAACAGAAGGAACTAGGAGGGAAATCCAGAAAAGCAAAAGCAAGACTGGTAGTGCTTGGTTATACATGGACCCACAACTGGACACCATTCCCAGAGACAGCCCAACTTTGGGAAGGACATCCAAAATGCTCATTGCTCAAGTGTTGGCCTCTATGCGATGGTCCCTGATGTCATTTGACATAAAGGCTGCCTTCCTACAAGGGAAAACCCAAGAAGATCGAGTGATAGCAATAGAGCCTGTGCCAGAAATGACAAAGGCCATGGGTCTAAAACCAAACGAAGTATGTAGATTGGTCAAGTCAGCATATGGTCTGATTGATGCACCGTTTCTGTGGTTCACTGAGCTGGATAAGACCCTTAAGGAATTAGGCTTCATTTCATCACCTTTTGATCCGTGCTTATATGTCCTTCATGACCCTGAGACGAAGGAACTCGCCGGCATCTTGGGAGTCCATGTGGATGATGGGCTATGTGGGGGGAATGACTATTTCCAAAGGCAGATCCAGAAATTAGAAAAGAAGTTTCCTTTTGGCTCCCGAAAATCCCAAAACTTTGTTTTCACTGGAATTGAGATGACTCAACACAATGATCACAGTATCACTATGTCCCAAGAAAACTATGTTACAAAAATTAACCCAATACACATACAGCCACAAAGGAAAGCCAATTTGGAACTTGCAGTCACTGAAAGGGAAAGACAAGACCTGCGAGCCCTGATCGGATCGCTGCAGTACGCGTCAGTCAATACACGCCCAGATCTTGCCAGCAGATTGAGCTTCTTGCAGAGTGCAATCAACCAAGCCACCGTTGACACCTTAATTCAAGGAAACAGAATACTCCACGAAGCAAAACGATACAAAACCACATGCATTCGAATCCAACCAATTCCAATGGACAAAATCAGATTCCTTGCATTCTCAGATGCCTCTTTTGCGTCAAAGAAACAGCCCGAATCACATACAGGAACCATGATCATGACCACGCATGAAGACATTGGCAAAAACCATGTATGCCCAGTAAACCCAATCAGCTGGGGTTGCAAAAAGATTCAGCGTGTTGTTACAAGCACTTTGTCAGCGGAGACAACGTCACTGAGCACGACTCTGGACCAGCTATCATGGTTGCGGCTTTTCTGGAGTTGGATCAAAGATCCCAAAACAGATTGGCGTCAAGCTAATAAAACACTCAAGGAACTTCCACCAACATATGCGACAGCAACATTCAAAGACCCATCAATTGCAGTAACCGATTGCAAATCACTCTTCGACCTAGTCACAAGAACTGCCACGCCATCCTGTCAAGAGTTCAGAACACAACTCCAAGCACATGCCATAAAGGACTTTTTAGCTGAGGGAGTCCGAATCCGGTGGGTTCACAGTGGAGCCCAAGTTGCTGATGCCCTCACGAAGATAATGGAATGTCATTTCCTCCGACAAACCTTATCCCAAGGGAAGTATTGCTTGTATGATGAAGCGCAGATCTTGAAAGAAAGGGCATCTACAAAAACCAGAGTCAAGTGGATGAATGCCCCAGAAAAATCTACGGAAACTACACAAAGTTGAAAGTAAAACTTTTGTTGGGAGTGTGAAATTATCAATGATCCCTGTCATTGTCCATTTACATTTCCCTTACAGGTTCCTTAGATTCCCAAACCGGTCAGCGTTCCAAACTTGCATCCATGACAGTTGCATTTGGCTTGGATCGCCTGTTGGTGGGAGGTGAGGGTTATAGCATCTTGGAAGCCATTGACCGCGGTCGGTCGCTACGTTGTGTGTGTCGAGGCCGACATACTTGGATTTCAGGTTGCTAGGCTTCATAGCCTTGGACGCCATTTTGGCGAACACCTTGAGACTTCCACTGGCTGCTTGGAAAAGACTGCAGGTGCGAGGTCGTGGGGGAACATCAGCTGCCAGTGTGAAGTCAATTCACAATATATATATACATACATAGTCTAAGCAAATATTGGGCAACTATGCCCTTCAGGAACGTCATGTTACCTCCTATAAGTAAGAAGTGAATTGAAGGGAACTTTTCCATGTTTGAAATGCAACTCTCAAGCGATTCTGGCCAAAGTGCCAAGACATTTTGCCAGTTCTGAAGGACCCAACAGGTCACATGTTGGACCACACAGCGCTATGACTCCAAGGCACGTCGGAAGGGTTGGACTTTGAACCTGGTTATCAACACAAGGGGCACCCAGATGCACCCAGCCAAATCAGGACCGGATCATGCTGCTGTCAATCGGTTCCCTCAAGGTCTACATAATTCTCCTGTGCCAGCAACAGGACCTTCACGCAAATTCTACCTATAAAATACAATTTCCTCTCTTTCCGTGTCGATAAAAAGAATGTGTTTAAAAAAGGCAATTTCATGCATCATTTCCTCATGATTCTTTTTCGTGAAAGAGAACTCGTGGGTCGCAAAACGCGTCCCCAAAAGAAAGGTCTGATTCTGCCATCGCCGGCACCTTCTTGCCGGAATGACCTCGAAGGTTGAGTCCTGATTTCAGGATCGTTTCAGGAAGCTGTCAGTGTAGAATCTAATCCATTTAGGTTTTGTCTGAAAAATTCCAGAAAATACGCCTCTCATGGTTCAGAAAATCATTGACCCCATTAAAATGGCTACAAATTTGGGTATCCCGCATGTCTAGACAATCATTTCAATGGCTTTATCCTACTCAGCGCACCCTGCTTGGGAGACTCCTTCGTCCAGCTCCAAGAGTTGATTCTTTGGCACCTGCTAGTGCTGGCTATGGGACGAATTTGTGGTACCCTGCGGCAAAAATAGAAAAATGTGGATACAACAGGTTAATACCAAGGATGATGAAAATCTGCAGGTCCCTGGATCTGATTTTTGTTTGCCCATACCAAACTGACTGGGGCTGAAGGAATTCTGGGGCAAGTTTCAATGCTTCTACAAGTACTGCCAGTGCTGAACACTACCAACTCGTCGGTGGCAGACCTTGGAAGCTAAGCCATGAAGGGTCACGGCTGCAAGGGCCAGCAACTTCATTCCTTGGCGTTCAAAGTTCCGACCCAACTAAAGAACACACTCAAGAGCAAGTGGATTTCACAACATTAGATGTGAATATGTATAAGCTGTAAATAATGTGTATCTATATAAATAGGTACACATATAAAGTATATATATAGTATATATATATAGTATATATATATAGTATATATATATGCAGTAAATAACTACAGTATATGCATGTAGTGTATATATATATATATAGAGTGTATATATATACACAGTAAATATATAGTGTATATATATATAGTAGTATATATATACTATATATATATATAGTGTGTGTAAATATATAGTATATATACAGTATATATATATATATAGCAAATATAGTGTGTATATATATAGTATATATATATATAGTAAATATATAGAGTAAATATAAAAATGGTGTATATATAGAAAATATACATATAGTATATATATGTAGTAAATATATAGTACATAGATAGTATATATATTGTATATATATAGTATATAAATATATAGTATATATATATTATACATAAATATTAAAAATATATAGTATATATATTTATAGTATATATATACATATAGTATATATATATAGTATATATATATAGTATATATATATATATAGTATATATATATATTGTATATATATATATTGTATATATAGTATATACATAGAGTATATATATATATTGTATATATTATAGTATATATAGTGTGTATATAGTACATATATAGTGTGTATATAGTGTATATATATATAGTATATATATAGTATATGTATACTATATATATTGTATATATATATTGTATATATAATATATTGTATATATATATAGTGCATATATATATAGTATATATATAGTATATATATATAGTATGTATATAGTATGTATAGAGTGTATATAGTGTGTATATATATATATGCATGTGTATGTATGTATGGATGGATGGACGGATGGATGGACGTACGTACGTACGTATAGGTACGTATAGGTATGTAGTAGAGGTATGTAGTATAGGTATGTAGTACAGGTATGTAGTATAGGTATGTAGTATAGGCATGTAGTATAGGTATGTAGTATAGGTATGTAGTACAGGTATGTAGTATAGGTATGTATCGGTATGTATGGGTATATATACGTATGTATAGGTATCTATAGGTATCTATGTATACATCGTATATACATATAGAAATATATATATATATACATGTACATAAAAATATATGTATACATATACATATACATATTACAAAAACTCAAATACATATACATATTACATATTACAAATTACATGTTACATATTACATATACATATACATGTACATGTACACAAATACAAATACAAATACAAATACACACACATATACATGTACACAAACTCAGATACATATACATGTACATATTCGACATATTCATATACATATACATATACATATATATCTATATAGATAGATAGAGATATACCTGCGCCCACATATGTATATGTATATAGTTACATACATACACAAATGTCTGCACAAATAAATGATGGCAAGCAATTGCACTATACATACCTATACGTATCAACCGCCCCAAGACCATGACTTGAAACTTGCAACCTCTTCTTCCTTGGCCCCCAGCCTTAGCTGTGCCGCGATCCGCGCCCAACGGGCGCGGAAGAGCCGCGACTTGAGCCGAAATACACCCAAACTGACTCTATCATTCGAAATGCTTCAAAATCCTGCCGAATCACACGCACACAAACGACCTGGGGAAAAACCATATACATATATATATATATATATGCTGTACATATAGCTACTTATCAAAAGCTTGGTGATTTCAGAATTTAGCCAGTGCCTGGTGGCTGGGGACAATTTCCTCTGCAGCCCTGGGACGCAAATCCAGAAATTGGCAGACGCCAGTGCCAGCGAAATGCATTGAAATTCACAAGCAAAAACATGTTTTAAAAAAACACATCTTTAAGTCTTTAAGCTTAGATGATTCTCATCTTGCTCGAGTGGCTTAAAATCACAATGCATTGAAAATTCTCAGTAGCTCCCTAACATCTGTAATTAGCATGGAAGTCGCTGGTCTTCATCAAATGTCTTGTCTGAGGTCGACCTGAATTTTATGTTTGTACTGACTCTTCACAAACTCGACTGCTGGTCCCCCTACAATGTTTAAGGCGTCAAAGCCACATGAACTTCCACAACATCTGCCAACCTTGCTGAAATATCAGCCACACACCCATCGGTGTGGTTCTTCAACTGCTGCTTGAGTGCCTTGCGAAAGCAGAATTAATAGGGGGAAACAGTTCAATTTAAAGACCAACCTTTGTGAAATTGAACTCTTAGAAAAATGTTTAAACAAATTCGCTTCGAGCTCCCACATATCCTTTGACATGCTCAAATCCCTTCGCAGGGCTGGCTTTTTTTAACAACAACCCCTAACACTAAACCTACACCCTAAAGTCAAACCGCGGCGTATAGCCAGTGTTCTCGTTCATGCTCTGGTGACATGTTGTGTACAGTGATGTTCCTTCAGGAAAATCAAAGGGTTTCCCCATGAGTGTTCCATATGTTTTGCACATGTTTGAAGCTTTATACCCACAACAACAATCTAAAAAAAATGTCGGTTTGTTTAAAAAAATGCACACTTGTCAACAATGAAGATCAACCACGAAATCTGGGAGTCCTAAATGTTTGAACAAATTATCTGTCATAATCCCAATAAATGTGCAGGATTAAGAAGGATCGATGACCAAAAAATTGATTTTACAGAGACAATCAGAAAAAAATCTAAACTGGATGAACACGGCATTTCAAGCACCATCTATACCCATCCAAAGTGGGATATTCGACATATGGGTCAAACCATATATCATTTCATCCTATATCATCTCTACAATAGTCCTCTATATATATATGTGGATAATATTCATGTAACTGTACATATATACATATGTACACATACAGTATGTATATGTATAGAACGCAGTCATATATCACATTCTATCTATCAATCCACCCTTCATCTCCCTATTCTATCACAATGATTGTATAAACATATACAACATATATCCAGTATCCATGTATTTACATATCGTATGAATATACCTGAGGCTACGGCTTCAGCAGGCCGGCCTCTGCAGCCTGCCGCGCCCTCCCCTGTCGCAAGGCTCGGACTGCTGCGTCCAGGGCGGCCTGGCCCTCTTGCAGTTCCTGGTGCGCCATGGATGGAGGTCAACAGTTCATGGTACATACATCTATATCATCTATATCATCTACATCATCTATATCGTGTATAATTAAATTATATATATATATATCCAACAATGAGGATGTGAAGTCAAATAATATACGATAAAGTTAGGATGGTTTGACCAAAAAACAAAACAAGAACGCAAAATTATAGCTAATCCCCAAAATGTGGGTGTGATTGTGTTGACCGAAACCCACTTGCCAAGCACCATTTCAGCCTATGAAAGATTGGACAATTTTTTCAATTGCATGTAAGCATGTTTGCGTGTGTGAACCATCTGAAGAGATGTAAAACCTCTATAACTGTTGTGCCGTTTCATCTCGTTTCTTACATCAAGTATTTAGAGCAGGGGGGCAACCCCGTGAGCATAGCTGGTTCCCGGACGAAGAGGGCTATGCAACGGCTGATACGGAGTCTGATCAACCCCATGTACCTGCGCCTGTTTTCGAATCTTGTTTCCTTTCACTGCAATGGCGCAGGGCTAAGCCGAGAACCCCTTGTTCTTTTCTGCACCGTTGTCGCAATCTGAAGATCACATGATCGGCAATTATCATTTACTTTGCTACGGGGAAGAGACGGGTCTGCTTCCAATTCTCCTTAGGATTCTCCTGTCGCGGTTGTTCTGCATGAACGATACATTCCAATATCAATTCGATAGAGCTGTCTGATTAAGTGTGTGACCCATGTCGGATTCCGACAAATGACATGAGCCCCATGAGGGAATACCTTTTCCGAAGGTAGCACTGCAGCGCCATGACGTGACAGCTGAAGTGAGATTCTAAGGAATGGTAATTGATTTAAGAAAATTGAAGCAGTTGGCCCTTTCTGTTTTCCCGGTCTCCACTATCAGTCGATTGGTGGAACAACTTGCCGCTGTGCCTGGCCTCAATTTTGATTTGCAAGCTGTGAAACCTCCCTTTGCAACTTTGATCGAGAAAATGTGCAGCGTTACAGCACACATGATGAGGCGACGGCCATGCTGGCAGGTATGGTGATTCTTTCCTTTTTATGGTCGTTGGTGAGGTTCAGGTGCGCATTTAATCCGAAGGGCAGAAAACGTCAGTCGTTTAAGGGATAACTGAACTACCGAGAGCCTCAAGCCTTATCACGAACCTTGCATGATCATATATTGAATGCATCCTTTACTAACAAGTTCCCCATGGGTCCCCTATCTCATGCGCAGGCCCGCGTTCCTCTAGGTCAGGTTTGGTCCTGTGCGTGCCGAGGTAAGCGTAGGTTTCGCCATGGTAGGTTGGTTCAGGCGCTTCCATCCTCCCCCCTCTGGTCTTGGTCCTTGTCCGTCGTCCGCTTGCTTTTCTTTTCCCTTGCCCTGTCAGGGTTGCCCGGTATGGGCTAGGTGTGTTGGTGGTCTCTCTCTTCCCTCTTCTTTTGCGTTCCCCTCCTCGTGTTCCGGCTGGGTAACTCTCATGTCATTTTCAACTCCATTTCATGTTCATTTCCTATCCTTTCATTTTCATTTTCACCTCATTGCCGGGACCTTAACTGTCCCACCCTGCTGTGGCAAGGTGTGTGTGTGTGTGTGAACCATCTGAAGAGATGTAAAACCTCTATAACTGTTGTGCCGTTTCATCTCGTTTCTTACATCAAGTATTTAGAGCAGGGGGGCAACCCCGTGAGCATAGCTGGTTCCCGGACGAAGAGGGCTATGCAACGGCTGATACGGAGTCTGATCAACCCCATGTACCTGCGCCTGTTTTCGAATCTTGTTTCCTTTCACTGCAATTGCGCAGGGCTAAGCCGAGAACCCCTTGTTCTTTTCTGCACCGTTGTCGCAATCTGAAGATCACATGATCGGCAATTATCATTTACTTTGCTACGGGGAAGAGACGGGTCTGCTTCCAATTCTCCTTAGGATTCTCCTGTCGCGGTTGTTTTGCATGAACGATACATTCCAATATCAAGTCGATAGAGCTGTCTGAGCAAGTGTGTGATAGTCTGGGCACGTGGCTCTGTGCAAGGTCCAGCACCAATCAAAACTCATGGACTGGCACACCATGAGACGCTTCCGCTGAACTTCTGCCAGTCGTTCGATCTTGGTCCAGCACAATGTCCGACAGCAAGTATGGACTCCAGTAGCTGCAGAAACAGCATGAAGTGATTGGTGGTGCTTCAATCAATCGCGGGAAACATATTGACGACGGCTTCTGGTCATATTGAAGAAAAAGAAACTGACGATTTTGGCTGATTTTTTTCATCCACGCTCGACTGGCACTCGCATCAGGCAATGATCAATGATCGAGATCCAGATTCGCTTCTGAGGCACACGCCCCAAGCATAAACTCCTCAGAGACCTACAGGCTGAACATCTGCAGTGGTTTTCTACAGGAACACCGCCCTTGGGTCGGCCAACATGTCGAAAAACATGAAAAACCTTGAAATCCGCCCGCACCGAAGGTGCTGGGGCGTGATCTTCCGGATGGCACTCGTAAAAGGTTACAGGTTTACCTGGGGGGGGGGGGGCATTTTTCGGCCAAAACCTCCTGTTTTTGATAGGTCGTGACGCTCGCCTTCAAAAAACACTGTAAAAAACAGTACGGAAGACACCTGTTCGTGAACGCGCCCGTCCAAAATCGGCAAGCGAAAAGTGAAAAAAACCCGTGTTTTTCAACTTTTTGACCTCAATTTTTTGGTTTGCAACATCTTTTTTTGCGGTTCCGCAGGTGGCCTGGCCCGGAGGCGGATTTTTGAGTTTTTGGACCCGTTTTCGGACTGATTTTCGTCGTTTTGCGATAGCAGAAACACTGGTTTTTACAGTGTTTTTCTGTTTTCTGCATGCTTGACGGCTAGCTTCAAAACTTCCAAAAACCTCGTAAATTACGCTGTTTTATGTTACGGTGTGAATGAAAACATCGTAAATACCAGTGTTTTTTGACGTTGGTTAAAAAAACACTGTAAATTACAGTGTTTTTGGCCACCTGACCCTCAAAAACCATGGTATTTGCAGTGGTTTCTGCTTCTCACCGCGCAAAAACACTGTAAATAAGAGCAATTTCGCCGTTTTTTCATGTTTTTCGTTATTTTTTGAACTGCGTTGGTCCGCTATACATGGCTATCAAATTCTTCGCGTGTTTTTTTCCGACAATCAGTACTTTCGGATGTTTTTGGTCTCAATGGCCGACATCATTGGCAGTTACGAACGATGCGGTGCGGGCGGTTGCCGTCGCGAAGCGACGTGAATATCCATGGGAAAATGATGGAAAATGATGGAGTTTGCTGGAAAAATCGTTGATTCAATTCCGGAAATTATGGCTCTGGTTCAATCCATTCGAAAGGACATGAAAGTCAATCGGAATAATCATCCCATTTTGGGGATGGGAATCATATTCGAAGCCGCCGACCAACGAAGTGTCTAGAAGAGAGACAAAGTACGCTGACGTGATTTTTCCAGAAGTCCATACTAGTCCATACCCAAACATGGCATAAACCTCCGCAAAGGTCTCACGCCCTTCAACACCAGATAACACTTTATACTTGTCCATCTGCTTTCTTTGGTCAAGATGGACACCACACCAGGACTCAGGCACCTCTTCCATTGTGGCCAGGTGAGTTGAGAAAAAATTGGTGTCAGTGGATTCATTCTGCACTATGTGTGCTGCGTGCTGCTGCAACTCCTGACGCTTTGAAGTCAGCCGTTTAAGCTGGCTCTGAGTCTCTTGCTTCTGATTTGTTTTATGGTGCTGGCCATCTTTTTGTACCTTGCTTGCTTTTACCATGGCTTTTGGGCCAAAACAGCTGGTTACATCCCATGCTGCCAACAAGTGTGATTGAGTCGCTGTTGAGCACTGCAAGATACCTCCCTATGCCTAGGGCCTAGAGGTATGTGGCAAACCCAATCATAGTCAGACAATCCGTAACAATCCCCATGCAATTTTGGCATCAGGGGGTATTCCAATACCCCAAAGCTGCCAAAAGCTGGCGCTTATCATTGGGTTTGCCACACTGATTCTACATCAAACAAACAGGTTTATCATAGGTTTATCTACCCAGAGGCCTGGCACTTGGCACACATTGCGACTTTGTCCCCGAAAGTGTCATCCTTTGCTGCCATTGCTATTCTTTTAAACTTATTAAACTTAGAAACCCATCTCGCTTGTGACACTGGTGAAAATAAATACATCATAGTACATCATAAATCATCAAATACATCCACTTTTGCTCTCTCCTTGTTCGGTTGCAGAGTCTCCTAAGCATCGCCTCAAGCCGCCTCACTGCGAATTGCGAGCCCTTCTGCCTCAAGTCGCCAGCACCTGCTGAGAAAGACAAATAGAAAGGCAAACAGACAGGTAGACATATAGATAGATGGATGAACGGATAGATGGATAGAAAAATAGGTAGACAGATAGATATAGGTGTGGATTTATATATATATAATAGATAGACATATGTAGACAGGTATGGACAGATACAGACAGATACTAATTAATGTAATTAATTGGAATAGATTGGCACACGTGTGCTTTTCGCAGGTTGGAATGGGCTCGAACCAAGTTTCCTCCAAGCGCTGAATTTTGGTGAAACCCGCCTGGGTTACAACATATTGGAAAGTTGGCAAAGGGTCTGCAAAATAACGGGGCTTATGTCCATTTGAGCTGGATCCCTACCCAGGTGCCCTTAAGACATCGACCACTGATTTGATTAGATGATTTTTCCGAGTCTGTAGATCCTTGTGAAGGGTGCTTGCTGCTCAACCGTACTAACAATTGCAAACATTCCTCAATGACAATCGTTCCCTTACTGAGTCGCAACACTGATTTTGAAAATCGGTAATCAGCAACATGTCTTTGTTTCATGTACAGTATGTCTTAGTCATTCAGCAACACTTGTCGTCGCCGAATGTTGCCAATTTGCGGCTCAGTTGTCACTGGTCTCATCAATCTCTTCTTCTCGGAATTCCTGCAGAAGTTGAGACATGCTAAAGACCTGTCTCCAAAATATTAAAACCCTCATGTAGTGGCATCCATCTGTCAGAAAAATATGGAGCAAAAAGAGTCCCTTGTTGGATTTGAACTTGAACCCAAGTAGTGAAAAAGGGGCCTGAGCTTCCTTCCAACGTTCTCTTGGAGTGTCCTTATCACGATCAGAAGGGGTCAAGGATTTTCACAGGCCAATTTGAACAGCGACTCCAAATCACCCAATGTGGTAAACCCAAAAGCCATTCCAGATTTCACCACACACCTTTCCAATTTGATATAATTGATCTTAGCTACGAGTATTAGGTTTACCAAATTACAAAGCGTGCTACCTAGTGCTTGTGTAACTTCTGAGAGACTCACTGGCCAGTGGCCAAGTTCACTCTTCCTGGCAGCGGATCACAGAGCTTATATTGTTGCTCGATCAAATGAGTTTGAAGATGTTGGGACAATCCGTCAAATTTGATGGTTTAGAATGTTTTAGAACCTCATTTTCCCCATTAATATAAAGTGACCAGAAATTGGTGGTGCAACGCCATTTTCTGACAGACCCAAGGCGTGATTCAGGATCAGCCCACCCTGCTTACAGCGTGCCTTGCAGAGTTTGCTTGGTCCTGCAGTTATATACTCAGCACTTGAATCGACACAGAGCAGCATTTTACGTCATATCAGCTTTTCTCAACAATGGGGACACACGGTAAATCCACTAAGCGACTGGCTTCCTCATTAAAAGCGACAACTGTTGGTTTTGGGGTATCACGTTTGAATCTGAGTCCCTGCCTCTGACACGGCGCCAGTGCGTTCGTTGGGCTCCCACTCGCACCTCATGCAACTTGCGAAGGAAATTTGGGTTCAGCAGAGTCTTTCTTGGCCTCAATCCTTCCTGGTGGTTCACACCCTGACCATGGTTATGGCGCATAGCCTTGACACAGGTCAGCTCTTCGGATGAAGGAATTTTCTCATGCTGATGCACTCAATCTATCTAAGTCTTTATAAATTCCTACAGTGACAGCTTTCTGCTGAATGTGAAGAAGCCCCGACCTGTCCAGCTTCCATAAAATATGTCTAGGACTATCCAGGATTCTTCAAATTTCAAGCTGCAACTTTGGGATCCCTGGCTGTGGGCGATCGGCAGCATCGTCCCGCCTGCAGCTTGGCGTTTCCAACACATGTCCCCATGGATCTCTCTGAAAATTGCCACAGCATCCTGCCTTGCGCGTGAGGTGGGACAGCCGCAAAAATAGAACCTCAGCCAATATGAAGGGTTCCTGAAAGGGGGACCCCCATATCATCCATTTTAATGGGAATGTCCCTTATAAACCATCCATTTTTGGGTACCTCCATTTTAGGAAACCCCCATATGAAAAACAGCAACGTTTTTGCTGAAGGCTTACTCTGAGATCCCAGGCCATGGGCTTTGGGTATCATCGCCGCTCCTGACAGAAAGCCCATCATCAATAGCCCCAGGAAATGCTTCTGGATGCTCTACCCTAGGTCACTCAAACGTGCAGTGGGAAATCCATATATTCAATGGTTTTTTTGCAGTGAATTAGTATAAAATGATATTATGACTGGAGGATTTTCCGTTGTCAGTTTAGATTGCCAGAGGGTAGATTTTCGATGCGAGTCTGCATTTCAAGCCTCTCAAGCATGGATGACTCTGTGTGTCTCATGGTGTCGTATTTCCTTTGGTGATTGTGACAAGGGCTCCTGCAGTGTGGGACATGCGCTAGACTTGTCTCGGGGAATGTGAGCTGACATACAGGACCTGTTTTATATTGTTTTATAGCATATATATGTATATATATGTTACATTGTGTTACAGTGTATTGCTCATTACAGTTGTATCGGCTGAACCATTTTTTCCCCAGAAATCAACATTGCGAGAACCAACAAGAACCAACAGTTGGTACATCTGTGTGATTACAATGTGATGCCATGCTCCACCAGCCTTTCCACTTCCCTCGAGCGGCTCGCCTTCGGGAGGCCTTGCGCAACAGAAACCTCGGCATTTTCAGGTGATCAGTGTAATGAACACTGGGAAAATCAACAAAAATAGAGATTGACCATCAAAATGATATAATAATAATGATAATAATGATAATAATAATAATATATATATATATATATGGAAAATTGCTGATCCCAGCCCTGTCATGTTGAACACCCGACAAGGGACCCGAAACAAATCCAATACCAAATCTGGGGTTCCGGGGTGGCTTTTGATATTGGGGAGATGACCATGGGCGTTGACCAGGGTTCCAAACGCCTGTCGACCATCCTCAAAGTAACGGCTCGGCATCTGTGGCGGGGATTCCTGCAGATCTTCAATGAGACGACCATCACTGGCAGTTGGGCCGTAGACACTTACGCGCAGCAGTTTTGGCAGACACAAACTGGTAACCAAGGGAACTACACTTGCGCAACATGCTGAACAACCAGAATGAGTGTCAAATGTTTGATGCTTCCTTTGAACATACTACGGTACTTGCATCCCAGTGTATCTTCAGAAAGGTCCAAGAATCAAAAAAAATCAGTGTCGTTAGAGTACGCTCAATTCAAGTCAGGTCTGATTTGCTCTTAGTAGGGCCAAATACTTGCTTTATATATATATATTATTTAATATTATATATTTTTTATATTATATTATATTATATTAAATTATATTAAAACACATATTTTAAATATTTTTTATTTATGATATATAATATGTTATATATTAAATACATATCATATTTTATATATTTTATATATCATCTATCATATATCAAATATAAAATATTATATATTAATTACTATTGAATACAGATTATATAAAATCTATTAAATATTATATATATATTATATATATTATATTATATTATATTATCATTATAATTATATTATATTATATTATATAAAATTATATTATATTATATTAAAAATATAGATATATATGATTGTATATTTTATCTTATATATGATATATTATTAAATTACTATATTATAATATTATTCAATTATTATATTATTATATTATTATATTGTTATATTATATATAAACCAGTATATGTTTTATATGTTTTATTAAATATTATAAATTATATATTATTAATCGAAAATTTTATATTATATATTTTTATTAAATTTTAAATTGTATATATATAAAGTTATATATTATAAATAATATATTTATATACAGTATTTTATCTTATATATTGGATATAATACAAAAAATAATATATTATATATTAAATATTAAATATACATTTTATGTTGACAATCATCTATTATATATTATTCTAATATCATATTAAACTATTAAATATTAAGTATTATATATTATATTTTAAATATTAAATATTATATATTATATATTAAATATATTTTTTATTAAATATGAAATATTATATATTATATATTTAATATCATATATCATATATTATAAATTATATATTATTAATTGTATATTGTATATTATATATTATATATTATATATGATATACTTAAAAATTATATATTAAAGATTACATAATATATATATTATATAAAAAATAAAAAACTATACATTATACAATAATAAATAATATTATATAATATTAAAAAATATTATCTATTATATATTATAAATCATATATGATATACAAAATATTATACATTATACATTATACTTTATATATAATATATTATATATTATTGATAATATATTATATTTTATTTATATTATTATTATTTATTGAAAATTTTATATTATATATTATATATCATATATTATATGTTATATTAAATTATTTATCATATATTTTATTTTACATATTATCAATCATATATTAAATACTATATACTATAAATTATATATTATATATCATATATTATATGTTATATATTATATATTATATATATACATCTTTGTACCACCATGTCTGCACTTGGATCTTTGTTGCGTGACCAGTTAGCCAGGAAGAGAACATATCCAATCAGCCCCACTTAGCACATTTCGAGCTTCATCCCAAAAACACGCGGGTCCTGCTGGTAGCCGGGCAGCCCGAAAAAGTTGATCGCCGGCACCGCTAGGTACTGAGCCTAAGCCGGCCAGAAAAAAGGCTAAGAGCTGAGCCAGGCTGAGATGTGCTGTCTGAAGTTTCGTAGGAAGTTCAACTGAGCAGTTGAGAGGGAACATAATGATCCAGTGAAGCAGGTAGCAACTAGTGTAATGTCGTGTGTATAAATAATATTACATAGTGATTAATCAGTACTGAACAGGGACTTTGGTCACTTCTCAACTGAACAAATGGCAAGGTGGACGAAAAAAAGGTCATGATTCATGATACACCCTCAGTCAAGACTCCTGTCCATCCAAATGGAGGTAAAAGTTAAAACCCACAGCCCGAACCACTGAGCATGTATACCTCACGATTCCCTTTGTGATGAATGTGCACACCTGGTTTTTGTACAAAAATGGCATAATTGCAGTTTTGATATGACAAATGATGATACACCATTGGATTTCACAAGGAGTACTCCTTTTGAAAAATTGCGCCCCAGTGAACACACCATGTAAATCTCGAATCGAGAAACATCAGTGAATAGGTTCGTGTTGTGCTCCATGCCTGCCAGAGTCAGCAGGAAAGAATATGGGGCATACATTGATACATTGGGCAATGTTATTGGAAATATGATGTTTGGTAAAATGATGAGCCGTACCCCATTGTCGGACAAACCCAGCTGACAATCAATTTTGGATCATTTTATTGGGAATATGATTGGCCGGGAATGGTGCACAGCACTCGATGAACAAGGGATGTAAACGTATAGTAAGATATAGTAAGTATAGGCATAGTATGAGACACTGTGTCATCCCGCTCTTCAAATGGCCACCTGGGGGTGTGATCAACAATTTCCGCGCGCGACACTGCTTGAAGAGGGCCACCTGACCAAAACATCCATTCATTTTGGGACGTGGTGATTTGTCAATCTCAAAATGAATCGAGATAAGACGTTGACCAACTAGAACAAGTTTGAACAAATCCAACGGCTCAGCATGCATGACCTACAGACCAATCTGCAAGTTTCAATCTGATGATAAAGGAACACGTGCCCTGGCGTGCGAAAGATATAGTCTCCGAATCCAACCAGTTATGTCTGAGTCACAATTGAGTACATAAATTACAGAAATAAAATCCGTTTCTCAACAAAAAATGATCAAAATATTGAATTCAATGATGATTTTTGAACCAAACCCACGAATGCCGTGATTGCTTCTCTTTTCCGTGCAAACTGAGATCAACCCCAAGCCCCGTGCAGAGTGTGATGGCGGGACAAGGCTGTCCTGAAGTTGGATATCCATCAAAAGCCCGTCGAGTAAAGTGCAGAGCACATCAAGGCAGCATCAGTCGTGGTTCAAAATTACTGACCACCAGATTCAATTGTTTATAAAAATATATTTTTTTAAAAAAAATATAAAAATATATATACATATATATATATATATATTTGTATATCTCATTACATACCAGATAGTGCCCGGCAGGCCGGGGCGGAAGTTTCGAAAACATGAGATGGCTATAGGAAATCAATGGCCTATAGGAAAGTTTTTGCGATGCAGAAGCAATGATGTGTTGAAGTTGTGAGGTGCATCAAGAATGCCAATGAAGTGACATGAAAGAATCCGTGCACAACTGAGTGATGAAGCAATGAGCTAGTGAATCGATGAACCAATGAATCAATGAATCGGTCGGTCAATGAACCAATGAACCAATGAACCAATGAACCAATGAAGAAACGAAACAATGACTCAATGAATCAAGCAACCAGTGAACCAATGAATAGATGAATCAATGAGTGACTGCATCAGCGCATCAATGAGCCAACAAATCAGTGATTCAATGAATCAATGAATGAATGCATGAATGCATGAATGCATGCATGCATGCATGCATGCATGCATGAATGAATGAATGAATGAATGAATGAACATGAATGAATGAACATGAATGAATGAACATGAATGAATGAACATGAATGAATGAACATGAATGAATGAACATGAATGAATGAACATGAATGAATGAACATGAATGAATGAACATGCATGAATGAATGAATGAATGAATGAATGAATGCATGAATGAATGAATGAATGAATGGAATGAATGAATGAATGAATGAATGAATGAATGAATGAAATGAATGAATGAATGAATGAATGATGAATGCATGCATGATGAACATGAATGAATGAATGAATGAATGAACATGAATGAATGAACATGAATGAATGAACATGAATGAATGAACATGAATGAATGAACATGAATGAATGAACATGAATGAATGAACATGAATGAATGAACATGAATGAATGAACATGCATGAATGAATGAATGAATGAATGAATGAATGCATGAATGCATGAATGAATGAATGAATGAATGAATGAATGAATGAATGAATGAACCAATGAATCAACAAATCAACCAGTCAGTTAGACAATGAGTCAGTGAATCAATGCATGAATGATTTGGTGAGTCGATGAATCAATGAATCAGCAAATCAATGAATGAATGCAATGAGGAGATGAATCAATGCATCAATGACTCAGTGAATCAATGAACCAATGAACCGATGAATCAATGAAACGATGATTGAATGAATCAATGACTCCGTGAATCGGCGACTCAGTGAGTCAATGAACCAATGCACGAGTGAACTAGTGAGCCAATGAATGAGTGAGTCGGTCAACCAATGAATCAGCAAACCAATGAATCGATGAATCACCGATTCAGTGAACCGATGAACCAATGAACCAATGAATCGGTAAATCCATGAATCCATGAGTCAATGAATCAATGAACCAATGAACGAAGGGATGGATGAATGAATGGATGGATGGGCGAGCTACTTTTCTTGATTGGGCTACTTCTTCACTGAACGACCTCTTCGCTGAGGCACCTTTTCTCTCAGCTACTTCTTCTCTGAACAGCCACTTATCTGGGCTACTTATGCTCTGTGCTACCTCCCAGCTAACTCTTTTGTAGCTTCTGCAACCCAATTTTTCTCTTTGTGCAGTTGTTACAATGCGTTTAGCAGCCTCCAGCTGCAATCCGGCATAGCACAAGAGGAGCATGGTCAAGAGCTACCTTTCGCGCGGCGTTTGGCAACCTCCAGCTGCAATCCCGCTTGCCAGGAGCGTCACGTCATCACTCATGCTTTGCTGCGGGCAGCCGTGCCAATGCGTTTTCTCACAGCTGCTTGCAAACCCGAATAGCAGGAGCGTCGCACCAAATCGAGCAACATTCACACACCGTCAACAGCGCGGACTCCATTAGGCTGCTCCGAATGCCTCAGTTTTTCGATTCTTTTGTGTCATCGAGCTCTTGCCACCTTTTTGCCGACTTCATCTTCCAAAAGTGCTCCGGCGTCGCCAGTTTTTAAGCAGTTTGAAGGGCAAATCAGGCTCCCGCTACTGGTGTTGTGCGCTTTTTTTGTCGACAACTTTTGCAGATCGAGCCCCGAATCCACGGAAACAGAGACCCTACCTCGGCGACCACGGAAGCCACTTTACCCAAAAAAACGGGGTTTCGCGAGATTGTTTTCATCCGTGAATTGACTCGCTTCCGTACTGTTACACTTTCCAACTGCTTGATGATGGGTGGTTGACATGATGATTTGGTTGACATGATGGTGGGAATGCTAACCATTACAACCGTCCGTAACTCGGAAGTTTCTAAGTAAACTTCCTTTGAATACCAGTAGTACCGCGCAAGGCGGTGGCGGAAGTTTCAAAGATAGGACACTATAGGAGAGGTGAGTTGTTGTGATGCATGGATGGTAGAGCGAATCCACTGATGGACCGAAAGGTGGTTGGAGTTGTGTTATTTTTGGAGTGGTTGCAGTGGTCACCTCACCCACAACTGCTGGATGTGGTGTGGTGTAGCGCAGTTGTAGTTGTAGTGTAGCGTAGTGGACTTGTAGTTGTAGTGTAGTGTAGTGTATATAGTTCATTAGCGTAGTGTAGTGTAATGTGATGCAGTTGTAGTTGCAGTTGCAGTTGTAGTTGTAGATGCAGTTGTAGTAGTGTAGTGTAGTGTAGCGCAACGCAATGTAATGTAATGTAGTTGCAGCTGTAGCTGTAGTTGTAGTTGCGGTTGCAGTTGTAGCTGTAGCCTAGTGTAGTGTAATTAGTGCAGTGTAGTGTAACGTAGTGTAGTTTTAGTTGTACCTGTAGTAGGTACTGTAGGTAGGTCGGTAGGTAGCTAGGTAGCTAGGTAGCTAGGTGGCTAGGTAGCTAGGTAGCTAGGTAGCTAGATAGCTAGATAGCTAGGTAGCTGCAGCTATGGGTAGCTAGGTAGCTAGGTAGCTGTCGTAGTCGTAGTCGTAGTAGTATTCGTCGTAGTAGTGTTCGTCCGTTTAGTATTCGTCGTAGTAGTCGTAGTAGTAGTCGTAGTAGTAGTCATAGTAGTAGTCGTAGCAGTAGTCGTAGTAGTAGTCGTCGTCGTAGTTGTTGTTGTTGTTGTTGTGGTGTTGTGTTGTGTTGTGCTGTGGTGTAGTGTGGTGTGGTGTGGGGGAGCCTAGTGTAGTGTAATTAGTGTAGAGTAGTGTGATGTAGTGTAGCGCAACTGTATTTGTAATTGTAGTTGTGGTGTAGGGTGGCGTAGTGTAGTGTAACGTAGTGTAGTGTAGCGTGGTGTAGTGGTAGTTGAAGTTGTAGCTGTAGCTGTAGTTGTTGTTGTCGTGTCGTGAACGTCTAAAAGTGGTACGAATGTGGTGTGCTTTGAACATTTTGAGTCTGAGTTCGACATGTGCTTCGCGCAATAACGCCGCGCACGCTTTCAACATCTCAACTTCAAAAAAGTGCTCCGAACCCCGTCAGTTTTTGACACTTTTGACTTCGAAATGTGCTTCGCGCCAAAACGGCGTGCAAATTTTCAACATCTCAACTTCCAAAAGTGCTCCGAACCTGGTGTGCTTTGTGCGTTTTGACTTGGAAATGTGCTTCGCGCCACAACGGCGTGCACTTTTTCGACATTTCAACTTCCAAAAGTGCTCCGACGTTGAAGTGTTTTTAGCATTTTGACTTGGAAATGTGCCTCATCTCTCATCTCCCCAGATGACTCCGCACCCGCCGCTTTAGCAAGCCTACTTTTCAACCCTCCGGAGCCACAAATCATTGGAAAAACACAGTGTTTCGCGACTTTTCTACCTTTTCGCGCACCTACATCTTCTTTCTTCTGACTCTTTCTCTTCTCTGAGCTTCTTTCTTCTTCTCTTCTCTTCTCTGACTCTTCCCACCTCTGCTTTTCCATCTGTCCATATTGTCGGAAGTTTGGCTTCTAAACTTCTTTCGATTATATATCCAACGCATCCCTCCAAGTGCGGAATCGTGCGTGTAGTCGCGCAGATGGCACTTCAAAATTGACCACCCTTATATGTATATATATAACATAGACCCGGGCAAGCCGGCGGCGGAAGTTTCCCAAGAATAAATGACCTATAGTTCAAGGCCAGCCTGTCCCGAGCGTGTCCTTCCCTCGACAAGCGGTTTTTTTTCAGCGAGAGACGAAGCAAAGTCTTCACACTCCACACTTCACTCTTCGCACTCCAAACTTCACACTCCACAGTCCACACTTCACACTTCTCACTGCTTCCTTCACACTCCAAACTTCACACTCCACACTTCACACTTCGCACTTCACAGTCCACACTTCTCACTTCTCACTGCTTCCTTCACACTCCAAACTTCACACTTCTCACTTCGCACTTCACACTCCACACTTCACACTCCACACTTCACACTCCAAACCTCACACTTCACACTTCTCACTTTGCACTTCACACTCCACACTTCACACTTCACACTTCTCACTTCGCACTTCACACTCCACATTTCACACTTCACACTTCACAGTCCACACTTCACACTTCTCACTGCTCACTGCTCACTGCTTCCTTCACACTCCAAACTTCACACTTCACACTCACTTCGCACTTCACATTCCACATTTCACACTTCACACTTCACAGTCCACACTTCACACTTCTCACTGCTCACTGCTTCCTTCACACTCCAAACTTCACACTTCACACTCCACACTCCACACTTCACACTGCACTCTTTGCACTCCAAACTTCACACTCCACACTTCAGAGTCCACACTTCACTTTCTAGTCATTTATTCTTGGGACACTAATGCCGTCACTTCTACTTCCCACTGTCATTACCTAAAAAGGGGCCAGTCCAAACAGTTACAATACTCATTGTCACTACAGTTACAGCCACAACGGTCATTGTCAAAGTAGTCTTTGTCATAGTATCTATGGTCACAGTAGTCATGATCAGAATAGTCACAGTCACAGTCACATCAGGTATGGTCACACTAATCAAAGTCACGGTGGTCATTTTATGGAGGTTATCAACATACAACCGCACGAACGATGGAATTACTTCACACTCCACACTTCACACTTGTCACTTCTCACTGCTTCCTTCACACTCCAAACTTAAACTTCACACTCCACACTGCACACTTCTCACTTCCCACTGCTTCCTTCACACTGCACACTTCACACTGCACTCTTCACGCCCCACACTTCACTGCTCTAAACCTACGTGCAACGGCGTCGGAAAATTGTAGCTCCAAAACCGGATCTCGACGCCAGAGCGAAAAAAAGACGATTTTGAAGCACTTTTTAAAAGGATTTTTAAAAGGAAAATTACTAGCACCAAAATGGAGGAAATCTGCTGACAAATCACTGTCGCAGCCTTCATGCAGCCACTCCAATACGATTTACGAAGTCCAGCTGCAAAAGACAATAGTATTACGCATGCAGCCTCAGCATGAAGCAACCTTGACGCAGCTATTACAATGCGATCTGCGGAGACTGAGTTGCAAAACACAATAGAACTACGCGCAACTGGGTCGGAAATTGCAGGTCCAAAACCGGATCTCGACGCCAAAGCGAAAAAAAGACGATTTTGAAGCACTTTTTAAAAGGATTTTTAAAAGGAAAATTACTAGCGCCAAAATGGAGAAAATCTGCTGACAAATCACTGTCGCAGCCTTCATGCAGCCACTCCAATACGATTTACGAAGTCCAGCTGCAAAAAACAATAGTATTACGCATGCAGCCGCGGCACCAAGCAACCTTGACGCAGCAATTACAATGCGATCTGCAAAGACTGAGTTGCAAAACACAATAGAACTACGCGCAACTGGGTCGGAAATTGCAGCTCCAAAACCGGATCTCGACGCCAAAGCGAAAAAAAGACGATTTTGAAGCACTTTTTAAAAGGATTTTTAAAAAGAAAATCACTGGCGCCAAAATGGAGAAAATCTGTTGACAAATCACTGTCGCAGCCTTCATGCAGACACTCCAATACGATTTACGAAGTCCAGCTGCAAAAGACAATAGTATTACGCATGCAGCCGTGGCAAGAAGCAACCTTGACGCAGCCATTTACACTGCGGGAACGATCCTACAGTTGCAAAGCACAATGGAATTCCATCGGCAACTCATCCACCAGCACCACTTGCAATCCCATTTACATTGCGGGAACGATCCTAGAGTTGCAAATCACAATGAAATTCCATCGGCAACTCATCCACCAGCACCACTTGCAATCCCATTTACATTGCGGGAACGATCCTACAGTTGCAAAGCACAATGGAATTCCATCGGCAGCACCACTTGCAATCCCATTTACAGTGAGGGAACGATCCTAAAGTTGCAAATCACAATGCAATTCCATCAGCAACTCGTCCACCAGCAACACTTGCAACCCCATTTACAATGCGGGAACGATCCTACAGTTGCAAGTCACAATGGAATTCTGTCGACCACACATGCACGAAAAACAGTTGACACCCCATTTACAATGCGGAACCGATCCGAGAATGATCCGAGGATGATCCGAACATATCCGAGCATGATCCGACCACACACGAGACCGTCTCGCACCCGTCGCACCGCAGAGGTAGATCATCGACGTTCGGGGACGGACTTTGTATGGAAAAACATAGGGTTTCGTGCATCTGCTATCTCTCAACAACGCATTTCGTGCGAGACTTCCTTCAAAACTCCATCGGCAACTCCTCCACCAGCACCACTTGCAATGCCATTTGCATTGCGGGAACGATCCTACAGTTGCAAATCACAATGGAATTCCATCGGCAACTCATCCACCAGCACCACTTGCAACCCCATTTACAATGCGGGAACGATCCGACAGTTGCAAATCACAATGGAATTCTGTCGACCACACATGCACGAAAAACAGTTGAAACCCCATTTACAATGCGGAACCGATCCGAGCATGATCCGCCCATGATCCGCCCATGATCCGCCCATGATCCGACCATGATCCGACCACACACGAGACCGTCTCGCACCCGTCGCACCGCAGAGGTAGATCATCGAGGTTCGGGGACGCACTTTGTATGGAAAAACATAGGGTTTCGTGCATCTGCTATCTCTCAAAAACGCATTTCGTGCGAGACTTCCTTCACAACTCCATCGGCAACTCATCCACCAGCACCACTTGCAATCCCATTTGCATTGCGGGAACGATCCTAGAGTTGAAAATCACAATGGAATTCCATCGGCAACTCATCCACCAGCACCACTTGCAACCCCATTTACAATGCGGGAACGACCCGACAGTTGCAAATCACAATGGAATTCTGTCGACCACACATGCACGAAAAACAGTTGAAACCCCATTTACAATGCGGAACCGATCCGACCATGATCCGAACATGATCCGAACATGATCCGAGCATGATCCGACCACACACGAGACAGTCTCGCACCCGTCGCACAGCAGAGGTAGATCATCGAGGTTCGGGGACGCACTTTGTATGGAAAAACATAGGGTTTCGTGCATCTGCTATCTCTCAAAAACGCATTTCGTGCGAGACTTCCTCCAAAACTCCATCGGCCACTCCTCCACCAGCACCACTTGCAATCCCATTTACAGTGAGGGAACAATTTCTTTGCTAACTCTTTCTGTGACTAACTCTTTTCCTCACTAACTCTTTCTTTGACTAACTTGTTTCTTTGCTAAACTCTTTCTTTGACTACCTCATATATCTTTCCCTCACTAACTCTTTCTTTGACTAACTCTTTCCCTGGCTAACTGTTTCTTTGACTACTCTTTCTTTGACTAACTCTTTCCCTGACGAACTCTTTCTTTGCTAACTCTTTCTTTGACTACCTCATATATCCTGACTAACTCTGTCTTTGACTAACTCTTTCTTTGACTAACTCTTTCTTTGACTAACTTTTTCTTTGACTAACTCTTTCTTTGACTAACTCTTTCCCTGACTAACTCTTTCTTTGACTAACTGTTTCTTTGACTAACTCTTTCTTTGACTAACTCTTTCTTTGACTAACTCTTTCTTTGACTAACTTTTTCCCTGACTAACTGTTTCTTTGACTAACTCTTTCCCTGACTAACTCTTTCTTTGACTAACTCTTTCCCTGGCTAACTGTTCTTTGACTAACTCTTTCTTTGACTAACTCTTTCTTTGACTAACTCTTTCTTTGACTAACTGTTTCTTTGACTAACTGTTTCTTTGACTAACTCTTTCCCTGACATTCTAAAAGTCCGTAACACGGAAGTTTCTCCCCCTAAACTTCCTTTGATAATATATATATATATATATTATATATATGTATACATACAGTGTTTTATGTTCTTCAAGATTGATTTTGTACAGTTTGGCACCCGTAGGCTCGCACATCTCTATATATCAGATTCTAATAGTAAAGACATGTAAAGACTTCAATTTGTGTGTCCATGGCCATGGGTGCCCTAATTTTGAGCTATGCTCTGGTGGCTATGCTACATGTGTCAACAAAGTGCTCAGCAGTTTCCTTCTCGCCGTGAATGAACAGCGTGGGGCAAGAAACATTGCCTGCAGCAACTCCAGTAGTTCATCAGGTCCCTAAAACAAGCCACCAGGAATTCAAAGGTATTGACACAAATCACAAACCTGTCAGAAGGTTCATTCATGACGATAGTTGATAGACTGATGCATTGGTTATATTCCATTGAAACAAGCCACCAGGAGTTGACATGCATTAACATTCAGAACCCTGTGGTGTACTTCTCTCAACCAGGACACATGGATATAGTATTGGCTGCAAGCCAATCGTGACAGTCACATTGGGAATCGTGGATTCACGTGCAAGTGGGTATGGGTCAAAACCCAAATCTTACCCTGCTGTTCACACCATATCTGGCTGCTTTGGATGTTCATTCTCCCATTCCCATGGTGTTATACGCGTTGACCCATCCAGAAGCATTCTTAATTTCGTTGGTCCCAGCTGCCTATCAGGGCAATGTTTGGAAATCTTTCTTCCAAGACCTCAGGACATGGGAAAAGGAAGACACGGAACGAATTTCTTGATTCATGTCGGTGTCCTTTTTTTGCGGTGCGATTGCCACTAGGTCACTAGGGGTCCTTGGTTCGTTCTGTGACAACCACAAGGTTGTTGACTGCCGAGACATCATTGACTTGCGGCTCTGCTCCAGCATGCACAAAATCAAAACCAACAGCAACAGCTTTCGACGCTCACTTTCTGGGTGAAAAAATGCCCAGTGCAAACTCTACAAACTCAATGACTCAACATGACCCAACAAAGCCAAGTATTGTAGCATTTCCAAACCAGCAATGTTGGAAAGTCTATCTTAGTCTAAGCCATAAAATATCTAGTCCCCTTTCCACTGCTTTCTTCCGAAGCATCCATTTTCGGCTGAGTCCCCAGCGTTCGCAACAAAAGGTCCCACCAAAGACTTGGCCGCCTGCCAGCCATGGGTCAGTTCACCTGATCAGTACCCTGGGTCACATCACCATGTAGTAGTTATGGCTACCAGTGGTTGCTATGCATAATCTAAATCATAGTGACATAGTGTATCTCCAAAATATCGCTCCAAAATTATGGTATTGTAGGTTTCGGACTACCCAAAAATCAACATTCAATCAGCTTCCGCGCATGGTTGACCCTGCAACAAGCGATGCGAACATGGCCTCCCGCACTGAAGCAAAAGCTGCGACCAAGATCAAGCCGCCCACTGGAAACCTGCAGGTGGATGACCGCTTTTAATGGACACAGCAGGAGATTCAGGTCCAGAGAACGCCCAATCAATTGTTCGCAGGGAAAATGACAAACAAAAAAGAGAAAACAAATGAAAACATGTTTCTTTTTGCCCCCAAAGATAGTTTCTTTCTGCTGATATTCCCTTGGACCAATTCTGGGACAAGTTGATGTAGTCTGGCAGCAGCATCACTTCAAACAAAACAAAATGCAACAAGAAATGCCTGGATGTACCATAGGTTCACTTTTCCAAGAGACTCCGTTGCTTCTTTGTATTGCATGTCTTGGCTGCATCTTGAGACTTCATCTGGGATCCATACTCTGCACCCTTTGTGGACGTGATATACAAATGCTCAGCGAGTGTGTCATTCCATGTTCAATCCTAGTTCCGTTATATTATCTATATCTATATATATATTCCTCTCCTTCTTTGATGATACATTATGCTACTTCTCCTGCTTTTTGGACTGGGTTTGTTTCTCTTGTATGCCTGCATGTTTCCTTCCGCCAAGATACACACAAACTATCGCATTTATGTCTACTGTTTCATGCACGGAAGGACTATGTAGTACTTACAGTGTACTTTCTGTCAAGCGCCACAATAATGACCAATAGCCGGATTCAAATCGAACCCACATTCGCACCAAAAATCACATCCGCTCCCCGAAACCAAAAAACAATGTTCTGGTGATGCAAATTCATGACGTGATTAACATCTATGTGCTCATAACTGTGTAATCATTCAATGTGATATCATCCACCACTGGTACGGCGAAAATCTTGTGCATTCATCCTCGCTCAAAACTCCAATCTTCAATTCTTTGACCGTCTTATGCAACCCCCACTTCTTCCGTTTTCAAATTTGTCTTTGTATAACACCTCCTGGCTCTGGTTTTATACGCGACACATAATGATACCTGTATGATATTGTTGTGATTTGTTGTGTATATTGTCATATAATTGCATCATTGATTGTAATATATTGTAATGATATACCATCCGTAATGGTATCATTTTCCCTGTGCTTAGCAAAAATCACAAGCAGGTTTTCCCACTCTCAGCATTTCAGGTGCTCCGCGCCTACTGGCTAAATACACCGTTGGACCGGAGCCCACCGAGCGGCCGAAGAGGATGATCTGCTCGTACCTGGGCGGAAAGTCCACCCATTTATAACAGAAAATGCTTGGCAAATGATGGGAAAAAGGGGCTGTAAATTCCATGGGATACCTTTTTTGGGCGGGGAAAATGTGAAGTTTAATTTGATGGGATGGAATGTGGTACAATAGTTCGAGACAAAATGAGATGTGTGAACTGTTTGGAAGGCACCTACCATCGGCTGGCATTTATGCTGCATGGACACAACATGTCGGTAAAATATGGTAAAATCGAGATAAATCAAGGTTTGCCAAACAGTGGGGGGGTCACGCAACTTTCAACTCATCCAGGATGAACCGAAAGGCGGTCAAGGCCACCTGCCAGGGTCAAGCCAGTTGCGGTGAAACCAATGGAAGCCACCAGCGAAACCATGGCAAAACCACGGCCTCCTTTAGCGCGGCTTCTGATGACCGAGAGATTCCATGAAGCAAGCCATATCCCGGGTACCTCCATACACGGTTGTCATATGTTGTCATGTTACAGGGACCGTTCCCTGATATTCAAACAGGGCTAGCCAGCTGACTATCAACAAGCAGTGCCAAGATGTGCCATTATTCACGGCAAGTGATCTCATTCTACCAGCGGGGCACTCCACTGCAAGGACGTTCATTTTGAACTGGTCCCGCATGTGACGGACCTTGGATACATTGGATACCAATTCAGGCTCCAGTCACTGGATGCCAGAGCCATTCGCCAAAGACGGCACTGTATTTTTTCCAACAATATCTAAGTTCCTCCTTTCAATAAAATATTAGTGAATTTCGCTCATCATCCCAAATATGGTTGAAAGGAAAAAGGACAGCACCGCCTGCTCAATCCAGTTCCACTGCGAGCTTCGCCGCTTCGCATTGGACTAAGCTTGCAGCAAATGGGAAGCACATACCAAGGTCCTGACAAACAGTGTGCGAACTCACGGCATAATGATTCCCCAAGATGGCACAGTAAAATCATAGTTGCGTTTGTTAGCCCTGGGGGTTGGGGGTTCAGATTTTGTATGCACAAATCTAAAAACATAGGGGGGGGGCCTACAAAACCAGAAACATGTCATTTGAACATGAACATCTTCAATCTACAAAATCTTAACATGCAACCCCACCTGGGCTTACACCTGTCACCCCCTCCAAATCCACAAAATCCAAATCATAGAAATCCATCTGCTATATAAAGGCATTAAAAATTGATTCACAAAACCTTTAAAAATTGTCTCAGAAAAAAATGCATTTTGTAGAGAAACCAGTGTTTGAAGTATAAAAATCAGCTTGATTCACTTGTTGATTTTGTAGAGGCCCTGATTTTCCATGATTTTCCTCTGCACGCTGGCTTCATCTGTTTTTTCCGCTGCTCTTTTGTCTTTGACTGAAGTTTTCACCACGCTCTGCAATCTTCAGATTGCTTCAGCATAGTGTCCCGCACTTCATCCCCGTTTGGTACTGTAGATTGTAGATCCAAAAAGAATACCCCCAAAAAATGACCTGGGGGGGTTGGGTGTCCCCATTTTGTAGAGCCAAATCTGACTTTTGGGGCCCCAGACCTCTACAGAATGAATGAGGAACCTGCCACAAATCTAGCAAGGAGTTTTCTCTACAAAATCAGGGTGCCCAACCCTTTTTTTTGGTGCACGTTTGTGATTTTCACAACCACTGGCCTCTACAAAATGGGAAGCCTGGCATGAGCAAACATTTAAGCAGAATTACTACTTGGAAGAAAGAAAACCGTCAAAAATACAAAGGTCCATTTTGTAGAGGGATGATGTGAAAGAACCTTGGTCTCCCCGTCTCACCTGAAATTTTTGAAATATACAAAAATCCATTTTGTAGAGGCAATTTCTGTTCCACATTCCAGATTTTGTAAAATCAATATAATTTGTCAATATTTGTGCTCATGAATGTTGACAAACCCCAAAACCTCTACAGAATGAGGAACCTACAGTTTCAGCCATCTACAACATGCATCAAAATGCTCCCACTACAAAATCAGGGAGCATTCCTTGCACACCCTTGCAGGCACTTAGGCTGTCAAAAAAATGGTTTTGACGGACCTCTACAGAATGAGGAACCTGCCACAAATCTAGAGGTTTTCTCTACAAAATCAGGGCACCCAACCCCCTGTTTTTTTGGTGCACTCCCCGTCTCACCTGAAAACCCTGAAGTGTACAAAAATCCATTTTGTAGAGGCAATTCCTGTTCCACATTTCCAGTTTTTGTAAAATCAATATAATCTGATAAAAAAGATCTATGTATGTCTCCACATCAACATCAATGCCATTCAGTTCCAAAATTTCAATGCCACAGAAAATGTGGAATCATACATGTCAACTATTTTTGAAACCAAATGGAACCACATGAAATCAACTGAAATCATGGTCCAGCCCATTTCCCTACAAAACCAGAAACATCCGACAAAATCTAAACCATGGCCTTAAACTCCTGAAAACCTAAAACACTACAAAACCAGAAACATCCAAAAAGTAATCCCAAATATCAGCCCAAAAATGGCCTCCTACAAAATCTCAATCAGCTTGAGGAGCATTCAAGATACCATCACATGACTCTCAAAAAAATGGTTTGTTTCAAACGTCAACGTGCTAGATTTTGTAGGGGAAATAGGTGGGACTATGTAAAATCTATGTCTACCCGACATGCATCATAGCAGCAACACAAGAGAGGCCCATCTCTCAACAGGCTCAGTCAAAGAATTTCAACTGCTTTTGGGTATTGCGCACTGTGCTCACACCCACCGGCAGCAAAGGCTGATTTTGCGGCGCATACCCTGCAGTGCTGCCGTCTGCAACTGCGTCGCCACTTTCCTACCAGGCCAGCAGAGAATCAGAATCCATGCGCATCCAGACGAAATGGGGAAGACCTCCAAATGGGAAACTTGCATAAAATATTCCTAATATTATTATATGAGTCAAACCTCTGCATTGTGGGTTACCTTCTTTTGGACAAACCCATATTATGTTGACTACCCCTTGGGATCCCTTGGGTAACAACCAACTTTTAAAGCAACGATTGCCTTGCCCATGTGAACATTCAAGCAATCAGGTACGAGTAGGACATGGAGGGCTCAAACAGAGATGGTGTGCACCCTGCCTCCCTGATGCCGTCCCCATCGACACAACCTCAAGGCTCTGGTGCTTCGGGATGGCCATCCCCATCAAATGCTCCGGTCCCCTTGGGAGCGAACGTTGATAGCTGAAATGGGCAGCCGCTGCATGCTCGAAAATGCCTGGAATGGCAGGAGTCCATTGGCAAAAATTGGGACAAGCACCTGGATTTGGGGGTACTGTGGGGTACCTATGTTGAGAGAAACCCAGTTTCCAGGATCCAAGAATTTCACCTAAATCAAACCCACCTTGCAAGCGATGGGCGAAGGCCTCTTTGGAGGCACCTCCAGCCTTGCGTAGGAGTGAAGCAAAACATAGGAAGACTGACATGGCAATGGACAAACAAATCTGGAACCATAGCCAGCTCTGGAAAGCTTGTGTCTCGGGAGTTTGGCACCTCCAACAGATGCAGCTGCAGTATTCTCTCCTGACATCAGCCCACAGCAGCAAAGCTTGGCACATCAACAAATCGTTCGTGTATGGTCCCGGTGGTAGCAATCTAATCTAAGCACCAAAAAAGATTTAAAATGGCCGGGTTGAACTACAACATACCACCATCAAAACAAAATCATCCATTGACTTCTTGTCTTCGGCCTTTTCACTACCTCAGAACAACTCACGCCTTCAAGGAATCGAGGAGATAGACTGCGGCTTGGCCCAAGGCCGCCCTGGTGTGCAAAAGTCCAGGGATGCACAGAGTTTTCTCCGGTATGGATTGTACGTATAGTATAGATTGAAGATGATTGAAGATTACACCATGTACCAAGGATGGTTGCTTAAAGTGCTCCAAGATTTTCCAAGCGGGCGTAGCGTTCGTAGCATTCTACCATCCATTCCGGCATGCTACCGGTTGCCCCAGTGCACCTGAAGTGTGCGGCCACAGGAGGAAGGAACTTGCTGCACCTACGTGCAGGATGGGAGGTCAATAGCTTGATGACAGGCCCTCAGCCACATGATGCGACATATGACATGATCCGATGGAATGGTTTCAATGGTTTCCTGGTCCAAGCCTTTTCTGGTTGCAAAACCAAGAAAGGAACTAGGGAGTTGGAACTTTGAATATTTTGAATGGTCTGAGCAGTCGGGGACAGGAGATATAGACTAAACTGACTAAACTTATAGTTATTGCAGGGCGGTGAAGTCAGTTTTCAAAGACGCACAATAGAGTTATACGAACAAGGACCATTTCACGTACCGCAGGAGCACCTTTCTTCAAAGTCAACTCCTTTCCGTCCGACCTCAGCCAAAGATGGAAAGATTAGTTTCAGAAAAACAAAACAAAACAACATTGTGAGATGGCAACACGAACTGTTTTCCGTTGGAGTCATTTAAGAAAATAGTTAGAGGAAACGGTTACAAGAATACGACGTCGATGGATCTGCTTTGAACTCTCTGAATATGTTGTGCTCCCCGGAAGCCTCCAAGTGCAGTTGACCGAAGATAACATGCTCCAGCACCCCGTCACAAACCTGGAGGCACTTCGCAAAGCTGCACTACGCCTGCAGTCCCTTCTCTGGAGGTGATTCAGCTATATCATGCAATCGATCTCATGCCATGTCGCTATGGTTAGAACATGTTCTGTCAACACATCATTCGAGTCTCTGGCAGTTTCAGCAATTGACACACGCATTCGTTACGTGCCTCGCGAACCTTCTTCTCCCAGTGGAGGTGACGTCCAAATCGTCGCCGTTTCATGCTGGAGCTGGCCAACCTCGGGCCATTGCCGCTGCGCCGCTGCGCTTCTACGTCAGATCTCTATAGTCAGTCTCAGCCAAGGATATATTTGTGCATATCTATGTATATATGTATACATGGCTATATGTATAAATGTGTGTAGATGTATAGATGTCTATAGATTTCTATAGATGTATAGATGTATATTTGTATATATTTGCCTGTATGTTATGTTATGTTATGTTGTGTTGTGTTATGTTATGTAATGTAATGTAATGTATGTATGTATGTATGTGTGTATGTATGTATGTATGTATGTATGTATGTATCTATCTACGTGTGTATCTATCTAGCTATCTATCTCTCTATCTATCTATCAATCTATCAATCTATCAATCTATCTATATCTATCTATATCTATCTATATCTATCTATATCTATCTATATCTATCTATATCTATCTATCTATCTATCTATCTATCTATCTATATCTATCTATCTATCTATCTATCTATCTATCTTTCTATCTCTATCTATCTCTCTTTCTATCTCTATCTATCTCTATCTATCTCTATCTATCTCTATCTATCTCTATCTATCTCTATCTATCTCTATCTATCTCTATCTATCTCTATCTATCTCTACCTATCTCTACCTATCTCTACCTATCTCTGTCTATCTCTATCTATCTCTAACTATATCTATCTATATCTATCTATCTCTAAGTATATCTATCTATCTATCTATCTATCTATCTATATCTATCTCTATATATCTCTATCTATCTCTTTCTATCTCTATCTATCTCTATCTATCTCTATCTATCTCTATCTATCTCTATCTATCTCTATCTATCTCTATCTATCTCTATCTATCTCTATCTATCTCTATCTATCTCTATCTATCTCTACCTATCTCTATCTATCTCTATCTATCTCTATCTATCTCTATCTATCTCTATCTATCTCTATCTATATCCTATATATCTCAATCTATCAATCTATCAAGCTATCAATCTATCAATCTATCAATCTATCAATCTATCAATCTATCAATCTATCAATCTGTCTATCTATCTATCTATCTATCTATCTACGTATGTATCTATCTACGTGTGTATCTATCTAGCTATCTATCTCTCTATCTATCTATCAATCTATCAATCTATCAATCTATCAATCTATCAATCTATCAATCTATCAATCTATCTATATCTATCTATATCTATCTATCTATATCTATCTATATCTATCTATCTATCTATCTATATCTATCTATCTATCTATCTATCTATTGTATCTATGGTATCTATGGTATGTATGGTATGCATGGTATGTATGGCATGTACGGCATGTATGGCATGTATGGCATGTATGGCATGTATGGCATGTATGAGATGTATGGCATGTATGGCATGTATGGAATGTATGCAATGTATGCAATGTATGCAATGTATGCAATGTATGCAATGTATGCAATGTATGCATTGTATGCAATGTATGTTATGTATGTTATGTATGTAATGTAATGTAAAGTAATGCAATGCAATGCAATGTAATGTATGTATGTACGTACGTACGTACGTATGTATGTATGTATGCATGGATGGATGCATGCATGCATGCATGCATGCATGTATGTATGTATGTATCCATATACACGTATACACATATACACATATATGTCCAATACACTTGTATAATATATATATAGAGAGAGAGAGACACAAACATGTGTGTATATATTATATATTTATTATATTATATTATATTATATTATATTAGATTAGATTACATTATAGTATGTTATATTATATTTTATTATATTGTATTATATTATATTATATTATATTATATTTATACACGTACATATATATATACATATATATACTATGTATCTACATGTTTGCAATCATGTAGCAGCTCTTGTTGCTACCTCTTTCTACGACTAGATATTCTGGGTCAGTCAGGGCAGTCGAACCTCTCCATGTCACTGGCAACTCCGGATGTCGGTCGTGGCACCTTGGTGTGGCTCTTAAAATGCCCAGGCATGAGAAAAAAAACTTCGGATCTAAAAAAAAACATGGTGCTCTGTTGTTTAAGTTAATTCTTCAATGTATTTCAACATGTTCGATTGTAAAGATTAGGGGCAAAACGACATGTGCAAGAGTTCTCAGGAAGACTCAGAGACCCATTTGCTGCGCCTCTGCGGACAGCAAGTCATCTTCAAAGGCTGCAAGCTGTTCCCGGAGGCGCAGCAGCTGCGATAAGTGAAGAAGTTGCGATGGCAACGACCTGGTCCCAATGGTGTATCCATTTCAGCAATGGCAGCCTCTTCAGTATCCGCATCGTTGTCATCCGCAAACCCAAATCAAAACCACTATGGTATGTCCTGCGGCACGACCAGAACCCTGCCTTTCGGAGGTAAAGGAAGCTTGTCCGGACAAGACCATATGAGCCAAACTTTCAAAGTCAGGCGCCTGGCAGAATCTGGCCACATCTGGACAAATTCGCTGGTTGGTGGCTTTAACTCACCAAAAAAAGACTCGGTTGGGGCAATATGGGCAATCATCCAAAACAGGTATTGAAGAAATCAAAATCAGCAGAAGTCATATAGAATCAACATCTCATGATGTACCAAATAGTTTGGCCTAGCACCGCTTTTGGCCAGTGTCAGGGGAACCTGCATACTAATCCTCTGTAGATTTACGACAAGTGTGCCCATGTTTGTCTCACTTGCAAGCGGCTGTAGCACTGCCTAGCGCCACCTGGAATCGCTGTTTGAAAGCTATCAATCATATGGCCCAAAATTTGTTCATTTACTTCTATCAATTTAATTTACTTCTATCATCTTCTATCCTCCTTGCAGGCTTCAAAACCTCGAAGAATGATGACTCAGAAGGACTTCCCACAAGCTTCACGCTGCCAGCTTCATTTTACTCAAGATATTCAAGATGGGCCCCATAGTTTAGCAGTCCCAATTAATGGCTTGATCTGCCCTGGCACCTCCAGCACACGATAGCAAGCTGCCAAGACCTTCAGCGCAGCATCCAAGCTGGAACTGGACACCTCGGTTTTGACTCTGAAAATGGGGAATACGTCCCATGTATGGCTAACCAGTGGACCAAAAAGGGTATGTACCATTTTGTTTAGTCCTACATCAGTCATGGTTGGTCTTCAGCGCTAGCAATTCCCGATGGAAACAAAGCACAACATCATGTCTTGTAAGAACTACAATTGATCTGGTGAAATGATGGTGAAGAAACAACTCATGAGGAGAGTCTGCAGAAGGGCTGGATGAAAGGTGCTGCAACCATGGCATGTTGAAGGATGCGGTGAGCAATACATGCGGTAATGCTCTCACACCAGCATATTTGAGAGGTTTGTCCATCCAGTATTGGTTTCATAGACTTTTGACGTCTATCCATTCGCCATCCTTGTGTACCAAACGCGGATTTCCGTTAGATAATGAGAAGGTATCCAGCTTGCCTTTTGTTGCGTTACTTTCAATCAACTGCAGACAGGAGTCTGAAGCATTGCCATCCAGGCCGGTTGTAGACCTCAGCTGATGCAAACCTTGCCATGTTTATCGCAAGTTTCCAATCCACGTGAGTTGTTGTAGCACGTTGTTTGCGCCAGGAGTTTCACTGCCTACTTCGAGGACCACCCCGCGTAACTGGTCAACACGTAACGTAACTCGGCTTGTGCCTCACAAATAGGAGAACCCAAAAGAGAGAGAGAGAGAGAGTTTCTGTGATTTTCTCAGACTTACAGTACCCATTGCTACAATTTTGATTGGTGATATGGAAATTGGATCAAAACCCAGGTGAGCCTCGAGATAATTGGCAAATCAATATTGGCAAATCAATGTTCGCCTCAAAACCATCGAAAAGCTTGGTTTTTACACATCTCTATATCACCATTGTTTGTTGGTTACATGGGTATGGCGATCCAAACTGGGGTAGCAATGGACCTGTACGAGGTTGGTCCTATTTTTAGATTTCAACCATCCCAAAATCTTGGTCAATCATGTAAGTCATAGCCAAATGTGATGCCATGGAGAAATATATGGTCCAAAACCAGATCAGTAATTCTCCTGGTTGAGTCCCAAGTTCAGTTTGTAAAATCCCCATCTTCATTGAACTGCATTGTTTGATCTCCTCATGTCAGCGTGCCCCCTACACGTGCCCCCTCCGCAACGTCAAGGATCAGTTCCTGCCGTGCCAAAATCAGCAGCTGCCGCTGTGCTGTGGCCAAGCAGTGGCGCAAGGCAAGGCGAACCTGTGCCAGGTTCGGCAGGTTCCCAAGTTCCGGACATTGAGGTGAAATCTTGCCATGCAAACCTGGGATTTTTTCACCAATCTAAATGGGATCTATGATTTTCTGATGGTATCCCCAGAACAAAATGGTGAATCCGAAACTGAAACACACCGAAAATGCCTGGGACCGATAGTTTGGCTCATAGCTATGGGGCAAGTACTGTTGTAATATTTAGTATCTGCAGGACGAGGATAAAAGAATGAGGAGCTCATAAAGTAGGCTTCTCCTCAGAAAGTGGTAAAGTGGGAAGCATCTTGATGCCTTCAGACGACATACACACGGGAGGATGCACAAAGCGCAACACATCGCACAAGTGGCTAGTGAGGCGAACACTAATCCCTTCAAAATCAGTATCAACATCTTCAAAAAGTTTTTGTTTTTTCGAGGGGCCGAAGCATGGAATTAATTGAAATCCAAAAAGAGCCTCAGTTCCTCGCCTGCAAAGCACCACGGAAGTCTTGCAGCTCGGCCTGGCGGAGCTACTTTGAAATGGTGGCTTTCTGTGAAATCGGCTCGAAATTCAGTTTTTGTTCGGTAAATTTGTCGTGAAATTGCTGGTACTATTTCGTACCATTTAGTGTGTGTGTATATATTGTTCTTTGCCGTTTCTAATATTGCTAATGATTATACCATGCTCGGGTCGTCACAAGTTCTCTTCTCCCAGTTCCATTCTCCCATTTCTTATCATTCACAGTACAGTCCATGCATCTTACTACGTGCATGGATCCAAATTTGGTACCTTAAAATTGCATTGGTTGAATACTCAAAGTTGCTAAATGTTGTGGGTCCTTTGGTCTGATTCTCTTTGGCCTATATCCCCAGTCTTGTTAGTTCTTTCAGTTATATTATATTATATATATACGCGCAACGCCTGGGTTTTGCCCACCATATGCAATATACGTATATACATAGTATATATCCCTGTTTTTGTTGGCTGATTTAGGGTTTTGGCCATATCCCTAAGGCCTTCAGCAGCTCCGCAGCGTTCGCCAGCAGCTCCCAAGAGCGTTCGCGCTGCAAGGCCGGCAGAAGAACCTGAAAGCGCCGCGGCGAATGAGCAATTTGCTAGGCGACTTCTGAAAATTGCTGAGACAACCAAGACTAACTAGCAAGAACTAGCAATATATATATATATATATAAATACATTATATATATACACACGTATATATGTATACATATATTACTATATTTATTTGTTAATATTTTATGTATATATATATACATATTTATACATATATATATACACATACATTTATACATTATATAATATCTATATATATATATAGAATTACTTTGTAAAATGAGCACGGCTTTGTTCTGATTCTCTACTTTCTCATGTAATCTGTTGATGACCTTTGAACGACCCCAGACTTCCATCCAATTTTCTCTCTTGACCAAGTGTTCGGGTCATGCCTCAGAACATCGCCCGCAAAGATCACTCAACAGCGAGTCCAATGCCTTCGCAAATGAACACCAAAGCTTGGGGACTCCCCTGAGAACCCATTTACAGGTCAAACTTACCATGTGGGATCAAAATCCTGATGCCCTAGTGAGCTGAACATCAAAACAGCTAGTACAATGGAATATCATTCCACCTAAATATTCCTAAATATAGGAAAATCATACGTTCGACCCCACCTCATATCAGTGAAGGTCACCTCGCAGTCATTTTCGGAAACCCTTCAGCCTCCTGTGGAAGCCGCGGCTCAAAGAAAGCTTCGAAGCAGCGCTGCTCGCGAGAACATGTGTCCAGGAGATAATTTATGGCATGCCTGGAAGTTCAGGGCTTGTCCAAAAATTGGGTATAAACAATGCAATGAGCTTGCCAACTTTAAGAGTTCAAGCAGGCACTCTGGTGCAGAGCATTACCTCACGGCAAACCGTTGCACATAAGCAACAATCTGGGGTCACGCTGACAGTCACACTACTTTTCTCTAAAGTTTGTAGCATTGGCATTCTTGGCACTGGCAGTGCGGTTAGTCCCACTGCACCGATCAAATGGTGTTTTGTTGCTCTTACCTTTAGATCGTTTTCAAACCGTTTGGATTTAAACGTCCGTCAGAGAAGGCAATAAAGATTCAGATTAGAGGGGGAAGTTGAGGTAAGGTGTTGATGTTTCAGCCCTCATGACTGGCAGCTGGGTTCCCCAAAAATCACCAGACTTTGAGACATCGCATTGTGTCTGGACTTCTGTGTTGCAAGTTCGCACCAAGACCTAGTTGAAACATGTTGAAACCACAAGTAGCACATCATGACAACACAGCTGCAAAGAACCAAAAGAACCATCCTCTTTTCACAGCCGAGTGCTTCTTTGCTCAACATGTCTTCGCTGATTTTGGAGGCCAATCATTTGAGCGACAGCGCAAAAGGAGGACCTGGCCTTACGAGTTCAAGAAGGTCTGGGTTCATCTCCTGCAACGGCAGTGCCAGAGTGTGCACTATCAAATGACCAATGTGAAAGGCTCAGCTCTCCAGTTGCGGTATTCATGGTGTCCATGCGTCCTTTTCTGTTGGATGTTGGTGGTATCCCAACCATGTCCCACTATCTCCAAGTAATCCCTAGAGTATCCACAGAATGTTTCTGGCTATATCCCCATATTGATATTGTTGGTCCTGAAGTGACTCCCAATGCGAAGAAGGCAAGCGCTTCCGCAGGTCTGCCAGTGCCGCCTCCGCTGCATCCAGTGTAGCAGCCTCGCCCACAAGCAGTGCAAGAGTTTGTCTCAAAGTTCCAGGGCAACTCAAAAGCATAAATGAATTCTAAAGTGTATAGAAAGATGAACATCATGATAATAGTGTAATAAACATTCTGAAGAGACATGAATTTCACCAAGGCCAGCTGTCGCCAAGTCACATATTGCTGATGCAAATGCGCCTGTTTGCGAAGAACGGACATGAAAGTCTTGATAGTCCTTAGGAAATTCAGCAACTAAACTCAGCAAACAGACAGAAAAACCGCTCCGAGAAGCAATGTCAGGGCCGAGATGCGGGGCAATCATGTGAAATGACGTGTAGAAGATCTGGGTATCCACAGAAGTTGTACCCTCTTCCTGGCACCGCAATGGCAAAGTGCATGGTTTCAGTATCAGTATACAATGAACTGATGGTAGATGCAACATCCAGCTCCGGTTAATTCTGGGTGCGCACGTGCAAATTTTGGGTGATCAGAATCTGTCAAGAGCAGTCTTCCAAATGGTGTTTTGAGTCCCACTGGAACGAGAGCTGCGATCGATTTTTGCACTCAACAAATGCCGCACCTGTTCCCACAGAATGTCTTGGACCTGGGAATCTGCCACCTGGTTTCCAAGCAAACAGATTGCAAATCGATGACATGCTTTGTTTCGGTGTCGGTCTATTGGATGGCTTGTCATCAACAATAGCAAGCACGCAACTACGGAGCCACTGTGACAATACCTTGCAAGGATTTGGCGGCAAAGCAAAAATGCCCAAACAGAATGCTCTGAGTGATGGACTTCAGACCACAACACAAGTCACACACACTCCGTACATGGTATTATTTCTGACTGAAACTGCTGATTTTCCAATATATGAACCTGCGAGCACAGCTGATTTGTTGCGCTTTTACCTCCTTGAATGGTCGTGCCTTCTCAACACCTCCGTTTCTAGCGGGAAGGCTGGCCTCAAGAGAATGCATCAAAGTGCTCCGCATTAGGATACACACCTTGGCGGTTGAACAGGAGGATGCTAGTTCCCAACAGCAGTGATTGTCAGGTTTCAACCTCGAAGTCTGGTGTTGGGTTGCAACACTGGGCTAATTCGATGAATGTTTCACATAGCGCTGCAACTGGGAAAACGAATTCAAAGGGCAAGAAGACGGAATACAGATAATACAGTAATGTAAGATGAAATATGCATACTATAAGTCTTGACACTGCAGCTTGACATAGTGTGATGTGCTAAAGATTGGTTGGAGACAGCCACGGCTGAGCGCCGCCATGGTGCCCGATTGCGAAGGTGGTCGCAGGTGCTCCTACGGAATTTCCAATGTCAACTCCAGATGAATCCCTGGATATCCCTGGTGAGTTGAATGATATCATTGGAGGGCTCCATTTCCATAGCCATGAACATCGAAAAAAGGGGCATGCTCCTCATGAATCAACTTTAGGTATCCTCTAGGTTCATGAAAATTGCTCTTGAGTCGACATTACACAGTATCTTTATTCCCAACAGCATCCAAGGTTAGAACCTTCGTGCACCAAAGTATCTCTCTCGGACATGTTTTGTGGGCTTCGGCTGAACTCATTCGGCCTGCAATTCTTGGCATCGAAAAAATCATAACGAGACTCCACAAATGAGGCAGCAGCTTCCAGGCCTGGTGTGATGCAAGGGCAAGGCATGGTAAAACCATGGTGTTTACCACCGGGTTGCCAAGCCAGAATTGTCACTTTCAGATTCCCAAAGCAAAACGGTAAAGCTCGGGTATGGGTCAGTTCACCCAAGTTACCCAACTTACCCTGCCGTACATTCCAGCTGCGACCACGTTGCGCTGTAATAGCCGCTCCAGCTGCGCCGGCTTCGACAGAAGCGTGGAGTCGTCCAGTTCCTGCAGAAGCTACGTGAAACCGACAGACTTTTGGCCTCTGAAAGTACAAAAGAAATCAAAAGAACGAGCACATGGTGCTGCGGATGGGTTGATACCTGATAAATATATATATATACAAATATATAAATATATATACAAAGATGCTAGATGTGCCTGGCTGATGTGCCTGTAAAATCCAGTGCATTATATGCGGTCTGCTGTTTCGACAAGGATTCTCGAGAAGCGTTTGGAACACATTGCGATCGCTGTGAAGGCCTGAGCTATAGACTCAAAGGAGCAAAGGGTGTTCAACCTGCAAGGCGTTTCAGATGTGGTTTTAGTTCAAGAGTATTCAAAAGTCAATTGTTTGCAAACTGTCGGCTATTGAATTATTGTTGTATATCAGTATTGTATATAGTATGTCAACTTTATGTGTGATAGAACTATGTGACGGGTTATCATGGAATGAATGTGTTTGCCCATAGTCCAAAGTCTATTCTGACGCTAGTGCTGACTGCATCATCCAAGCACATCGAAGCGATGTATTACAGAAGGAGGCCGTTTTGCGTTCATGTAGAAAACGCAGAAAAACACCAACCCAACAAAAAAATATTTCCAAAACGACCAAATATGTTTGCAAGTAACAATGTGTATGTATGTATGTATGTATGTATGTATGTATGTATGTGTGTATGTCTGTATGTATGTATGTATGTATGTATGTATGTATGTATGTATGTATGTATGTATGTATGTATGTATGTATGTATGTATGTATGTATGTATGTATGTATGTATGTATGTATGTATGTATAGGTATGTATATAGGTATGTATATAGGTATGTATGTATGTGTGTATGTAATGTAATGTAATGTAATGTAATGTAATGTAATGTAATGTAATGTAATGTAATGTAATGTATGTATGTATATATATATACAGTATATACATATATATATATACAGTATAATATATATATACAGTATAATATATATATACAGTATAATATATATATATATACGATGATATTATGTAATTCTATGTGTGCTGTACATTCCCTGTTTCCAAAGTCTCAGCAACAGCATCGGTGCCCACCTCGCCTTTCAGCAATCTGTTGCGCATACAGTGCCAGGCCATTGCTGGACTTCAGAGTCTCCTGCTAAAAACATGCGATCTTTGAAGCAATGTTTGACCATTTGGAGCAAGATCTGGAAGATCTGGAAGATCTGGAAGATCTGGAAGATCTGGTATCACTGAGTTGTCAGTTATCACACTGCGTTCTCACTCCATTGAGCAGAGAACTCACATCCAATGATCCAAGAAACTTTGATGCAGGATCACATTGACAGCCAGCATTTTGGTTGCCTCCTGAGGATGATTTCATTGCTGACTCTTGGAAAGGATCATTTCATCGCTGAAAGGGCTGGCGATCAGCAATCAGCCCACCTGACAATGCCCGCGAAGCCAAGTCGTTTTCCGATCCAATTCTCTGTGCTCAGCCTGCAGCAAAAGGACTGCAGGCACAGGCGCACCAACGTTGATTCTGGACAAGCAAAAGGAACCAAAAAAACATCACAGCATGTCACAGCTGCAAAATCAAATTTCAAGAGCTCGAAATGCTAGACAAACAACTTTGAGATCAGGACCTAGACCATTTTGTGTACCGTACAACGACAGGTCTGTCGTTTCGAGAAACCAATGGATTCTTTAAGAGGAGCAGGAGCTTTAGAATTGTCTCCCCATGCTTCTAACCCCACCATTTCGCATGATTCAAAGCCCCTTGGCTTGGTGCTTCAACACGGATTGACCAGCCTCCACCTGACTCAGAGCATGCACCATCTTTTCTTGTTGCTCTTGCGTAGATCCAAACGCTTCGTGGAGAGCTTGCAGCCATTGCAGACCTTGGAAGCACGGAGTTGGGAGGGCTGTGAATCGTCTCAAATATGTTTCTCTATGTTGGAATGGCTATAGCAGCTGTACGATGAGTGTCAAATAGTTTCCACTGTTGCAGAGTTCACATGTCGAGTTAATACTCGTTCATGCCACACCCACACAGGGTTTGGCACACCCCGGCATTGACAGATCAGAGATGGCACCGTCAACTACAGATTTCACGGTGATGTTTTCAAAATGCACATGTGAATTTGCTTGCAACCTAGTCAAAATGTGAGTCGATCAATATCAATCACCGGAATCAACCATTTCCATTGCCCTAAGGGCATTCTTTGAAAGCCGGCGAAAACGTAAAGCATGTTTTTTCTCCAATAATATTCGCCCTCTGTCGCGCGACGGCAGAGTGCCTACTGAGATCCTACAGTGAGGATCTTGTCGGTTCACTCTGTTTTTCAAAATTGCCTGGAAGAGGATTTACTGAGATTATTTTCATTCCCTCTTATCCTTTTTTTTGAGATCGTTTCCTTTGAAGAAGAGAGTCCGTTGGCAGCACTTTTCCATCCTCTGACTAATTTGTCGCAAGTGTTCAGCAAAGGCCTGATCCTCGACAAAAGCGTTTGGGGGACCTGCATCTGCACCATTGTCTGTAAGAATTCGTAAAGTGGAAATAGGATTCGTCAGACCTGCATCAACATCTTCTTGCTTCGGTTCGTCAGGAGCATGCTCACAATCTGAATTGACAGGACATATTGCTGTTATTGTCTTCGCATCTTGTGCGGTGGGACTTCTTTTTCGTTTCCTATGTCTCTTTCTTTTCGCGGCTTGCCACACTCGGGGCGCGGATGTTGGCTTCGCTTCTTTCGACGCATTTGAATCGTCAACACCTGATGGTCTTGCTAATAGTGTTGGTGACGTGGATCTCTGTAAATCGAAGACACTTGATGGTCGCGCTGATCTAGTTCGGGGCATGCAAGCCATTGCATCGTCAACACTTGTTGGTTTTGCCGATTCTGTTGGTGATAGGCGCCATGGCTTCGTAGGAAACTTTGCCATTTGCTTACAACCAGTGCCCGGAGGGCAACGTTATGGAAAGACACCAACTCAGAATCGAAACCTTTTGTTTTTCAAAAACCAAAAAATATTAGGCAAACAGTTGCTGCAAAATATGTTACAAATGTATTTTTTTCAATGAGTGAAATTCGACAATGGCAACAATTTGTTGTTGTTTTGTTTTCTCCTGCGCCCGTCAGGCAACCCTTTCATGAACTCCATATGATTTGTCAAAACTTGAGTCTATCACTGCAAAAACGTATGATATAAAATCATCATGAAATTAAGATATCGAAATCCATTTTGTTCTGGTGTGCTTTTTTTCCTTGAGACATAAACTGAAGTCGAAAATCCGTAAACTCTTCCTATTGCAAGCGATCCACTTAATTGCAGCACAAAAGAAGCCAGATTGCAAAACAATGTCTCCGCTCCAACTTGGGTCACTGAATGTCATTATCAGTTCATGCGTTATGACAGCGGCAAATACCTTATCAGACACATGCAGTTCAACAACATCATGAAGAAAAAGTTGAACACGAGTCAACTCCATCGTCGGGTGGAGCCGCAAAGGTGATAATAGGCGAGCAGAAGAGATTGTCACAGATTTGACAAAAAAAGATGACAAGGAAATTGCTATTAAAGAATTCAAAAAAGAATGGCCATCTTCATACAAATTCATAGTGAAGAAGGGAGATAGGAATTAAAAACTGCTGTTCAAGAGTTGAAGCAGAATAGTCAGCGTCATACAATTTTTTACGGAAAAGGGAGACGGGAATTGAAACTTGCTATTGCAGAATTGAAGGAGGGTAGTCAGCGTCATACAAATTTGCAGGGAAAAGGAAGATGTGAATTGGAACCTGCTATTCCAGAATTGAAGGAGAATAGTCAGTATCATACAAATTTGTAGGGAAAAAGGGAAATGGGAATTGAAAACTGCTGTTCCAGAGTTGAAGGAGAATAGTCAGCGTCATACAAATCTACAGGAGAAAGGGAGATGGGAATTGAAAACTGCTGTTCCAGAGTTTAAGGAGAATAGTCAGCGTCATACAAATTTAAGGAAAAGGGAGATGGGAAGTGAAACTTGTTATTTTTAGGGAAAAGGGAGATGGGAATTGAAAACTGCATTTCCAGAATTGAAGGAGAATAGCCACGGTCAAACAAATTTAAAGGGAAAAGGGAGATGGGAAGTGAAACTTGCTATTACAGAATTGATGGAGAATAATAGTCAGCGTCATACAAATTTGTAGGACAAAGGGAGATGGGGATTGAAAACGGCTCTTCCAGAATTGAAGGAGAATAGTCAGCGTCATACAAATTTGTAGGGAAAAGGGAAATGGGAATTGAAACTTGCTATTGCAGAATTGAAAGAGAATAGTCAGCGTCATACAAATCTATAGGAGAAGGGGAGATGGGAATTGAAAACTGCTGTTCCAGAGTTGAAGGAGAATAGCCAGCGTCATACAAATTTAAAGGGAAAAGGGAGACGGGAATTGAAACTTGCTATTGCAGAATTTGAAGGAGAGAAGTCAGCGTCATACAAAGTTAGAGGAAAAAGGGAGATGGGAAGTGAAAACTGCTATTCCAGAATTGAAGAGAATAGTCAGCGTCATACAAATTTATAAGAGAAAGGGAGATGGGAAGTGAAACTTGCTACTACAGAATTGAAGGAGAATAGTCAGCGTCAAACAAGTTTGTAGGGAAATTTTGGAGATGGGAATTGAAACTTGCTATTGCAGAATTGAAGGAGAATAGTCAGCGTCATACAAATCTATAGAAGAAATGGAGATGAGAATTGAAAACTGTTGTTCCAGAGTTGAAGGAGAATAGTCAGCGTCAAACAAATTTGTAGGTAAAAAGGGAGATGGGAATTGAAACTTGCTATTACAGAATTGAAGGAGAGTAGTCAGCATCAAACAAATTTGTAGGGAAATGGAAGATGGGAATTGGAAACTGCAGTTCCAGAGTTGAAGGAGAATAGTCAGCGTCAAACAATTTTTGAAGAGAAAGGGAGATGGGGATTGAAAACTGCTATTCCAGAGTTGAAGGAGAATAGTCAGGGTCATACAAATTTAAAGGAGAAAGCGAGATGGGAATTGAAAACTGCTTTTCCAGAGTTGAAGGAGAATGGTCAGCGTCATACAAGTTTAGAGGAGAAAGGGAGATGGGAATTGAAACTTGCTATTGCAGAATTGAAGGAGAGTAGCCGGCGTCAAACAATTTTGTAGCAGAAAGGGAGATGGGAATTGAAACTTGCTATTCCAGAGTTGAAGGAGAATAGTCAGCGTCATACAAATTGAAAGGAGAAAGGGAGATGGGAATTGAAAACTGCTGTTCCAGAGTTGGAGGAGAGTAGTAAGCATCATACAAACTTATAGGGAAATTTTGGAGATGGGAATTGAAACTTGCTATTGCAGAATTGAAGGAGAATAGTCAGCGTCATACAAATCTATGGGAGAAAGGGAGATGGGAATTGAAAACTGCTATTCCAGAATTGAAGAGAATAGTCAGCGTCAAACAAATTTATAAGAGAAAGGGAGATGGGAAGTGAAACTTGCTATTGCAGAATTGAAGGAGAATAGTCAGCATCATACAAATTTGCAGGGAAAAGGAAGATGGGAATTGGAAACTTCTGTTCCAGAGTTAAAGGAGAATAGTCAGCGTCATACAAATTTGTAGGACAAAGGGAGATGGGGATTGAAAACTGCTGTTCCAGAGTTGAAGGAGAATAGTCAGCGTCATACAAATTTGTAGGGAAAGGGGAGATGGGAATTGAAACTTGCTATTGCAGAATTGAAGGAGAATAGTCAGCGTCATACAAATCTATGGGAGAAAGGGAGATGGGAATTGAAAACTGCTATTCCAGAATTAAAGAGAATAGTCAGCGTCAAACAAATTTATAAGAGAAAGGGAGATGGGAAGTGAAACTTGCTATTGCAGAATTGAAGGAGAATAGTCAACGTCATACAAATTTAAAGGAGAAAGGGAGATGGGAATTGAAAACTGCTATTCCAGAGTTGAAGGAGAGTAGTCAGCGTCATACAAATTTGTAGCAGAAAGGGAAATGGGAATTGAAAACTGCTGTTCCAGAATTGAAGGAGAATAGTCAGCGTCATACAAATTTGTAGGGAAAAGGGAAATGGGAATTGAAAACTGCTATTCCACAAATGAAGGAGAATAGTCAGCGTCATACAAATTTAAAGGGAAAAGGGGGATGGGAATTGAAAACTTGTTATTGCAGGGTTGCAGGAGAGTAGTCAGTGTCATACAAATTTGTAGGGAAAAGGGAGATGGGAATTGAAAACTGCTTTTCCGGAGTTGAAGGAGAATAGTCAGCGTCATACAAATTTAAAGGAGAAAGGGAGATGGAGTTGAAGGAGAATAGTCAGCGTCAAACAAATTTGTAGGAAAAAGGAAGAGGGGAAGTGAAACTTGCTATTGCAGAATTGAAGGAGAATAGCCAGCGTCATCATAATTTGTAGGGAAAAGGAAGATGGGAATTGAAACTTGCTATTGCAGAATTGAAGGAGAATAGTCAGCGTCAAACAATCTTTAAGAGAAAGGGAGATGGGGATTGAAAACTGCTATTCCAGAGTTGAAGGAGAATAGTCAGCGTCAAACAAATTTGGAGGGAAAAGGAAGATGGGAATTGGACACTGCTGTTCCAGAGTTGAAGGAGGATAGTCAACGTCATACAAATTTAGAGGGAAAAGGGAGATGGGAAGTGAAACTTGCTATTACAGAATTGAAGGAGAATAGTCAGCGTCAAACAAATTTGGAGGGAAAAGGAAGATGGGAATTGGACACTGCTGTTCCAGAGTTGAAGGAGGATAGTCAGCGTCATACAAATTTAGAGGGAAAAGGGAGATGGGAAGTGAAACTTGCTATTACAGAATTGA